AAAAATGAAAATGCCAATCAGTTACTTTTATAGAATAATAAAGGCTATTGTCAATCGGAGCCTTGTAAAAACAATACAAGTGACGAACGAAAAAAACTATTCATAATTTAACAGTGACAGTTTCGAGTGGTGTGGCACATAAATAGCATATATTTCAGAGATCCAACAATCTCGTCCGTCGAAAATAATATGATGCAAGCAGAATAATAAGTCGTCATGATCCTTGTTCCAGCCAGGTATAATAATATAAACTAAAGAATATGAAAAACTATCTTATCAGTTGTTCATCAATGTTTACAAGAGAAAAAGAAAAATTTTTCTTTTTAAATTTTTTGTTTTACTTGAAAATTTCATAATTAGATGATGTATTGGAATAGATAAAAGATGGATAACATTTGATATTAATTCTCATTGTTCAAGACATATACAAAGGTATCTTTTCAATAATTGTTCTTTTATTCTATTGCATAGTAATATGATATAATACACTAATCATGAGTAATCCATTACATCGATTTATGCCTGTACCAACTAATGAAAATTGTTTATCTGTACCAACACTCGCACATCGACCATCAAGTCGAATATCAATGCAAACAAATAATTATGATGAAGATGGTGGTCTTAATTCACTATCAAGTCATTATAAATCATTGAGACATTTTTATCATCCATTTCAATCACATATTTATAATTTTCTTGAACGACCATGTGGTATATATTGTTTTTTATATCATTTTACTGTATTTAGTATTGTTATTGGTTGTCTTGTTTACAGTTCAATATTAACTGTTTATGCTGAACGATCATATTCAGTATTATTTTGGATGGAATTTGTGCTTTTTATTTTATTCCTTCTTGAATATATTGTTCGTGTATGGTCATCTGGTTGTCGAAATAAATATCGTGGTCGTCATGGTCGTTTATTATTTATGCGTAAATTAATGTCTATTATTGATTTATGTGTTATTATTGGTTATGCTATATTATTATGGATGAATTTAAATACTACACAATTTAATGTACAATTTATAAGATATATTAGAATTTTACAAATACTTCGATTTCTTCATGTTGATCGACGTCTTACATCATGGCGTTTACTTGGTTCTGTTATGTATGATCATCGTTATGAATTAGTTGCTACACTTTATTTTTGTTTTATTTTTTTAATTGTTGTTGCTTATTTAATATGGTTAGTTGAAAAAGATGTAAGTAAATCACCAAATGAAGATATGTTTCATAGTTTTGCTGATACACTTTGGTGGGCTATTGTGACAATGGTAAATTAAAAAAGAAAATTTTCTTTTCTTTGTTCTTTTTTATTATCTAACTTTACAGACAACAATTGGATATGGTGATAAATATCCTCGTACATATATTGGCAAAATCATAACATCTTGTTTATGTATTTGTGGTGTAGCCTTTTGGACATTACCGTCTGGTATTATTGGTTCAGGTTTTGCTTTGAAAGTCGAACAAAAAAAACGTGAAAAACAATTTAATCGTTTAATTCCTGCTGCTGCTAATCTAATTCAAAATTGGTGGCGTTTTGTTGCTTCTCGTCATCCAAATACAAAAGCAACATGGCGTATTTATCGTATTGAAATAAAACGAACGAATAAATTCGGTCGTCATACTGGTTCTGCATTCACGATACCTACTCCGAATAATATAAATAGAACACATAGTACACCACGTATGCGTCATGGACTAAATGCATTGAATACTTCATCTAGTGGTATACCATTAGATAAAATTTCATGGCGTAAAGTTGACGGAATTGAAGATCTTGATAACAATCAACTGATTGTTATACGCATGATACGTATTATTAAATATCATGTAGCTAGAAGAAAATTTAGTGAAGCACATAAACCATATGATTTTAAAGATATTATGGATGAGAATGCACGAGGAAATATTAAAGTTATGTATGCACTTTCTGATATACAACGACGTTTAGATCAAACATTAGGTTTACCAAAATCAAATTCAAATATTGTGTCGGATAAAGATCGTGAACAATTTACATTAAATGCAAAAGTACAACGATTAGAAATAAAAATAGGTGAACTTGAAAAAAAAACAAATCGTGTTATTTCACTACTTGAAGAATTATGTCACCGTTCACATAGTGAAGGAACCAATGTAACTATGAATCGTATATCAGCAGTAGCCGAAAACTTATGTCACCGCTCACATAGTGAAGAAACCAATGTAATTATGAATCGTATACCAGCAGTAGCCGAAGAATTAACATCAGGAAAGTGATCTGATCACAAAGTTTAGCTATTCTTATTTTCTGTTTGTTACTGAATGCAATCTATGTGATTATGTCAATAAAAAAAAAACGAAAATGAATTAAAAATAGAAACTTATGTAATAATCACGTGTCTGATTATATATGATCTTTTTCAATAAAAAATAAATACTAACGACTGACTTGGTGAAAATTTTCCTTTTTAACTGTGTTCTTTTTGGTGAATGATATATGATGATAGTAAACAGATTTCACGATGATCATATGAATCAAATGACAGAAAAAAGAAAGTAATTAGATAACATTCGAGTTCCACTCGACGGAAAAATACGGTGCGAAGCTTCCAATGTCGATGGATTGATAAATCGAATCCACACCTTCAGAAAACAGATACTATCGATTCGATCATAAGATTTCTTTTTCGCGATTGAATCAATACTTTTTGACTTTCGTTTCTTAAAAATATAGCGACAGAAAATGACTATTTTACGAATGCTTAAATTAATAAAAGGCGATAAGAAAAAATACCTTGCTAAGGACTACATTTAACTATAGTTACTCAATTCATCGTTTTATTTTTAGCAAACTTCATTTTTTTCATAAGCGTTGATTACAATAAATTTTAAAAATCTCTCAAATATTTATTATTGTTATATTCAAGAATACGCATTTATTCGGCCATATTTTCAATTAACCAACAAATAAAATCTTTACTGCTTTCTAACAGTCTTTTCATACACTTAGTTTGATGAATAATGCTATGTCAATATTTGATACAGCTGATGAACTAAGTTTAGTCTACACCTTTCGGACTACCACTCGTTGACCACCTGGGACCCGTGCAGACCCCAGTCTAATAAAATAAAAACGATATACTATATTTCCATTATTTTATTTTGTAACGGAGCTATATAATGGTTCTGAAGGAGACTTATGTCTAAGAAGAACAACAGTTAATTCGAACGATATTTATTCAATCTTTTTTTACTTTGTTCTCATTCCCTATTCTCAAAACATTTGAGATTGTGTAATGCATATGAAATATTCACGCATATTCTAAGAAAATTTTTTTGTTTTGATGATGATTAGCATGTAACAAAGCAATTTTTTGGAAATGAACTGTATCTACGTACGTTGCATTCTACTAAAACTTCCATGTTTACAAGGAAAAAGTCTTGTCGAAATGCTTCATGCGCTTCGGCATGATTTCTTTCCTCCTTAGAACTGAAATTTCGCAACATACAACGTAGTTTGAAACTTATCGTTCTTGCATTAATGCTCTTCTTTTTACAGCATCGGTGTTGTTGATTGTTGTTATCGGCATGCTCTACTAGGCACAGTGGGCAACCAGGCGGACATGAACGAAAGTATTCTTTTCCAAAGTTTAAATATTAGAATAAATACATCTAAGATTAGTCTATCTTGCCTTGAAATAAAACTTCCAGAAATTAAGGAGAACTCTGGAAAACTTCATTTTTATAAATTTGCTCATAAATCGCTATCTCTAGACAAAGTTAATTCTTCGACCAACTTNAATCATCGTGTGATGAAATGGAATAAAGGTGCAAAAGAAGGAATTGTCGTCGCTGGAGGTCAAGGCCGAGGGAAGACTTTGACACAATTGTCATTTCCAAACGGACTGTTTGTCGACACATGGGGTACCATCTATGTGGCAGACATGTTCAATAATCGAGTGATGCGTTGGCCTCAGGGAGCGAGTATGGGCACCGTCATTGTGGGTGGAAATGGTCAAGGTAAAGACGCAAATCAGTTGAATTTTCCCACAGGTTTGTCCTTCGATCGACACGGTCATCTCTATGTCGCTGACATGCAAAATAATCGAGTTCAACGTTTTTCTATCAAATAAACTCAGTACAGTGATCAATTTTTTTTTCTTCCTATTAAATAAATCAAGGTGAAAAAAAAAGAAAATGACTATTGGAAGAAAGGAATGAATTTCATTCCTATTCTATTCGCACACGCGTGACCAGGAATCATCCTGGTAGAGCCATGGCAGCCACAAGATCATTCACACTCGGGGTAGACTCATACACACATGACATGTATATAAGTCTGATCATGCCCAGTCGTGTGTCACGAACACCAAGACAGTTCCTAGCCGAAAACAATCGCTAACTCTGAATATACACATATCTAAATTAACTGAATCACGGTTATCTGATGACAAACGTTGATTAAAACGAGCATCAGAAGGTGAAATTCAATGTTTGAATACGATATTAACTGATAAAGATACGAAAATTCAAGTTCACCAAAAAACGATGTGACACATTAATTAGACAAATTCAAGTAAAATAAAAAATGAAATGCTCTCGGTTTTTCGTTGAAATCAAATTTTCTTTCAATTTAAAAAAACAGTAAAGTGAAGATAAATGTCAATCATTACAATTAAGTGTTGATCGTCTTTTATTAACATTAGCTAAAGCTGAAGAAGATGAATCGAGTTTAAAAACACTTGTACAATCACTTAATCAAACATTATCACAGCCAAATTATCAAACTGCTGATTTACAACAAAACCTTGGTAGTATACAAAATGCTTTACAAAGTAGTGAATCTAAACGACGTGTTGCACAAGAAAAACTTGAATAAGCATGGTAGAAATGAATATACATAAATCTAAAAACAAAAACCCTATTTTATTTCTTTTAGCTCACAAATAAGTGAACTTAGAAACAAAATCATGAATTACTTGAACGTGTACATCATCTTCAAAATGAAGTTACTGATTCTGAGATGAGACGACATCAATTAGAAAATCAATTACGTAATGGAAATACAATACAGCAAGTTTTAAATAGAAGAAAACTAAATTATATTCAATTGATGTATTCTTTTTTAAGCTTCAGCTTCTTGTTCAACGTCAAGAAAGTGAACAAGAAGCAATTTAAAATATTTCTATTTTAATTGCTGATAAGCAAGCTTTACAAGAAAAAAATAGTCTCCTACAACGACAACTTAGGCAATCTTGATATTGAAAAACGTGATGCAGAACGATCAAAACTACGTTTAGAAAAAGATAAATGTGTTTTAAAGAAAACATTAGATAAGGTTTTTTTAATTGTTTTATTATAACACAAAATATTGTTTCTTTTTTTTCAAACATAAAAAGAGGTTAAACGTAACCGTCTTATTGCCGAAGATATTATACGTTCATGAGATAGTGTTGAAATTGATCGACAATTTCGTCGAGTTGAAGAGGAAAATTTAGCTTTACAAAGACAAATTGAAAATTTACAGGCTATTCTTAATGAATCAGAACATCAACATGCACAACGGTAAGATGATTAATTATGTACTCAAACTTATACAGCAGTCAGAATCGAGAATAATTATTCAAATGAACATCTACGACATAAATGCAATCGAGTTCAATAGCCCACACCCACACCCTATATAAGAAGCTCAAAACAGAAAATAAATTGTTTTACAAATCATTTTTTTAGTTTAATTGATTTTAATACACGTAATCAACGTGAAACCGAAGTTGAAACTGCACGTATTCGATCATCACAAACAGTCTCTGAACGTGCTTTAGAAGCACGAGAAAAGAACATCATGCTCGTGTTAAAGGCCTTGAAGAACAGGTAATTTTGTTTTTTTTGTTAATTCAATTTCGAATTAAACATTGCTATTAAATAAATAGATAACAATACTTAAAGAACAACTTCATCAAGAAATGCGTGGATGTAAACCATTTCTTCATCGTTCATTAACAAATGAGAATGAAACAAATGCTCTCCGCCATGAAATAACTGATTTAATGTCAGTTGTTTCTCATGATCCATATAGTCTTGATCCTGCATTGTAAACTAGAAAATAAGTAATAGAGTTTAATGAAGGAAATTCTAGGAATGCCCGTATGAATTCACCGATGAATTTTTAATTCTTTGAAAATAAGATATTCGAAATATTAAGAATAAGAAAATTGATTTTCTAATTAGAAAATCAATTTTTAATTCATATGGGCATTCCTAGAATTTCGGATTCTATTTAACAATTCGAGTATTTTTTTAAAACTGTAAAATCAATTTTTATTTTCATATCATAATGAAGTATCTTTTATTTATTTTATAAAATAAATTATTTTATTTTATTTTTATTTTAATAAATTCATAAACATTAAATTCACATAAATGCATCAGACAGAATGAGTAAATAATTTTAACTTTAATTTAAATAAATTCATAGACATTATCAATTCACTAAATGCATCAAATAAAATAAATATATAAATAAATAATATTAATTTAAACAAATTCATAAGCATTCGATTGATATAAATGCATTCAAAATGAATTGACTCACGCAGCAGCTGAAAAAGGTTGTGGGTGGGTGTGGATGTGGCAGTGGATGAACATACAAGCTATACCCACACACACCCCACACCCACACCCACACACCCCACACCCACACCCACACCCCACACCCACACACACACCCCACACCCACACACACACCCCACACCCACACCCACACCCACACCCTCAAGACATGATGAATGACACGTGAACTATTCAAATTTTACGTTTTTCGTAATTTTCATTTATAGTAACCATGTGCACAAGTGAGTAAAAACTAACTTTTTGTGTTAATGAAGGAAGAACGTGAAGCGATTTTTCAACATTTCAATAGTTTTAATTTGATGGGAAATTAGTCAGTAAAAAAAAATTTTCTTTATTCTCTTTTGGTCTGAAAGTCGTTTATTGCAAAAGAAAGCATATTGTAAAACGTTTGAATAGTTAGAAAGTTGTATATAGATATACTTAAACTATCTCATAATGTCTATTTATATACCAAGTTTATTGCCAAGAAAAAATCGTACGAAAAAAAAAACAGTTTTAGTGCATCTAAGAGCTTTTTTCCTTGGTCACGTTTCAAACCCGTATATATACGAGTACCGTTCGCAAAGGGTTAATACACAGTGGGCAACCAGGCGGATATGAACGAAAGTATTCTTTTCCAAAGTTTAAATATTAGAATAAATACATCTAAGATTAGTCTATCTTTCCTTGAAATAAAACTTCCAGAAATTAAGGAGAACTCTGGAAAACTTCATTTTTATAAAATTGCTCATAAATCGCTATCTCTAGACAAAGTTAATTGTCCGACCAACTTAATGGAAATATTTAAAAAGAACAACTATTCAAAACGAATGATTGCTCTATCGAGTTCATTGTGATAAAAAAATGATTTTGATTGGACTCAAATTGAAAAAGAAAAAACTTGATTATCGGGTTAAAAGTAGGTCCGAAAATTGGTCATTCCGTATTTTACAAACCCTACAAAGAGTTTAAGTTCGATTGACCTGAAACTTCTACCAATTATTCTTCCACATGTGATCTATCGTTGGGCATAGCGCAACCTCGTGCCAACGAATACGGGCTGTGCTAGAGGTCTTCCAGAAATCCAGATTTTTGCCACTAAATCTCTCTTTTCCCAATTATAGCAGAGTTATGGCACAAAACCAAAGTAATATTCAGAATCAGCTTGTCGAGCTGCATCGAATCATATATAACAATAAGTATTTTTCAAAAAACAAATTTGGATCTTTTTCTGGATATCACTCCGAAAATTGGTCATCCAGTATTTTGTTAATTCTACAAACAGATTAAGTCCAATTGATTTGAAATTTTTACCGATTATTTTTCTATATGTGATATATTGTTGGACTTAGCGCCACCTCGCGCCAATGAACCAAGGCTGTACTAGAAGTTTTCCAGAAATGCAGGCTTCTACTCCTGAATTCCTATTTTCTCGATTCCGATAGCATTGTACCGCAAAATGAATATGATATTCGGAATCAGCAAGCAAAACTGCATCGGATGATGTATGACACAAAACATTTTCTACCAAAAAAATGTTTTCGTAAATCTGGCCAAGAGTTCCCCTCAGGTGTTTCATCCCGAAAATTTTTTTCTTCAAAAACTGCTTTGTTTTCGTAAATTCGATTTTCTAAGTAATATACAAACATTTGTGAGTAATGGCAACCCGTTGCCGAGCACAATAGTTACATGCCCGCCTGCTTCATGAAAGTTGCCCACTGTGCTAGGTGTCCCTAAAATAGACATGGAAGAACAAGATTCTATCGAAAGCTACAATTACAAAACATTAAATAAAATTTCACTGGGGTCCGAATAGACAACAATCACTCACATGTACTTCGAGATAATTTATCACATAAATAACGAGTGATAACGAACGGCTGACATCAGCAGCATATTGTACTAATGTTCACTAGAGTATATCTAGAGAGGCGTGGTTTGATCTGATGTCGTGTGTATATAACACTAAAATGCAATTAGTTGGGGTCCAGGCGGGTGCTAGATGGTCATTTCAGGGTTGAAAAAGCTTTTGAATTTTCTAGATAACAAAAGTATGAACTTCGTAATTTAACATCATTTTACTGTATCTACTACACAACCTAAAGCTTTTTTTATATTCGTTCCAGATGCCTGTTTCTTTTCAGAGAAAACATCTAGTTCTGATTGTACCAACAATATCATTTCATTAGCATCCAAATTTGAAGGTTATGGAATTCTTTCAAAACAACTTCTACGAAGATTTTAATTATTTTGAACATCATCATCGAATTGCTAACAACCATAAACCAATAACTATTTATTTATATTCTATAGTTATTATCATCTTGATTCAATCAAGCTGCTCTATAAATAATAGAAATCATTAAAAAAAATAAACTATTCATTTCTTGTTGTTCGTACAATTTGTACTTTATTGCCAATATAATATTTTGCCACATATTTGTGTTAAAATGCTGATTATTTAGTTTAGAGAATGATGTGTATTCACCTTAATTTGTTATTTTTATGTTTTGAGTTTATTCTTTCAAACAAAAGAAATAAAATTCATTCGATATTTTTGAAGATTTCTATTGCATGTTATTAACGACAACTACCGGTAATGTCCGATGATTGGACATTAAAAAAATAAAATATAAATCAATCAATAGATCGTACACTCGTTCTGGTCATATGTACTCTTGTCTTATTGAATTCCTTCGTTATCACATCGACCTATTATAACTTCTTCTTTTGTAACAATCAATCATTTAATTAAAACCCAACAGACGAAAAAACAATGGCAAGAGCTTCCAACAATAAAATAAAAATTGGTGTACATTGGAAAAATTCTTTATCAATTGATATATCATCTTCTACCAGTCCTCGTCATCCGAAACTTATCGAACTTGATCCAGTTTGTATTTTATTAAATATGTTAAAAATATCTCTATTTTCTTTCTTTTGATTTCGCTAAGAATATTCCACTGAATGATTATATTTCAAAAATATGTGATGAGTAAGTTAAATAAACTTTTCCATCAATTAATTGTTCTTTATCTTTCTTTTCATAGTTGGAAAATTCCTGTATCAAATTCAATTCATTATGCACTTCGATATGATGATATTCATAAATTTGTTACTGAACAAGTAAAATAATGCTTTGTGCTATTCTTTTTTATTCTTTTAATTATAAGAAAATTTCTTTTTTAGAATCGTCATCAGATTCCTACTGGTCAAGTTTTTTATCTTTCACTTTCACATGTAAATAGATGATTAATCTTTATTTTCTCTGTAAGCATTTGTTTTTGTTCTTTTTAAAAACAAAAAAAAAAGGAAGATGAAGTTCAAGATATATTAAAATATCTTTCATCAAATGATTATCAACGATATGATTCAACTGTACTTGAACGATTAAAATTAGCTGGTGAAGATGAAACATTTGCACTTGAATTTGTTAAACAAAATGGTCTTCAATATTTATTAAAATTATTTACTAATGATGGAAAATTAAATAAGTTAGTTCATTTGATTCTTTTTTTTATTATTCTTAAGAGATATTTTTATTAAAATATAGTTATGAAAATTTTACATCAAATCTACTTCGTTCACTTCATAACATAATAATAAATCAACAAGCTGTTCATTGGGATAATCTTGAATCTATTGATACTATTATTGATCAAGTAAGAAAACAAAAAACGTCTGTAAAATTCAAATAATTTATTTCAATTTATTATCTAGTTAATATTCGGTATTAATGCATCCAAAACTCCTTGTTTACATTCATCATCAGCAATGATGATTCTTCATTCAATTATTAATATTGAATCAAAATATTCATCAAAAATTATTCAAACACTTGAAATATCACATTTACTTGATTATTGTAACAAGTAAATATACTTTTTCTTTTTGTTCTAATGTATGATTGAGAAATTTTCAATATTATATTTTAGACAACATGATATAGAAACACAATATTATGCATTGTCATTAATTAATGTGATTATGAGTAAAGGTGATCAAATACTTCGTTCTGTAAGCAAATTCTTTCTTTGTCGAAATTTGGAAGTCATTTTTTATTTTAGTCATTAGTGAGAGCTATGTCAAATACAATTGTTTCAACAAATCTTCGTGAACTTGTGCAATTAATAATTACTGGTGTATGAATTTTTATTTTTTATAATTTTTATTTTCTTTTTATCATAATTATCTTTGTTAAAGGATGAACATTCAAATAATGATTCCTGTACATCTATGGATACCTCAATGCAATCAATACGAGTTCGTATCTGTTATCTAATTCAATATTAAGTTTATTTAGATCTCATGCTTTATATTTTGAAAATAGTAGTAACTGCAAACTAGCGCTCTAGGACAAGACGTTATCGCATGCAGAATTCAATTAGTCTCAAATTACTATATGAAGAGCCAGATTTTTGTTGAATGATCGTGTTCCGGGTACACAGCTAAACTTTCTAATATTACTAACAGAGATATAATCAACGAATGGTTCTTTTTATTTTTGTTTCGTGGACAATGTTCACTGTACACTAGAATCCTGTGGAGTCAAATTTTTGACTCCAAAAAATTTCGAAGCTTTTTTTGACTTGTATATGTACTTCTTTTTGTGATAGTTGTTAATGAGAATGTCTCTCTGATTTTTTTTGCTTTTTGAAATTTATTTATGAACCTAAGAAGTAGTGGATTCTTGTTCATTGCTTAACAAATGAAGAATAAACTTGTAACTATGTAAGAGTAAAAATACTGGACTGTTTTACTCATGCGACTCCGAAAAAAAGTTCTTAGCGATTCACTTAGATTTCGTTGAGTTTCAGAGTTCGATACAGAGCCCTATTGTGTATAGTCTAACTTTGAATGAGTGCCTACTCTTTGTTACATTGTACTGGAATCGAATTTTTGCAAAACTATGACCTATTGTAAAAATTGATGATACTGTCTATGGACGAGAGACTATTTTTTTTACAGTATTATTCTATTTAATGGCAATCTACAGTATATAATTAGTGAATTAATTCATCGTAACTATTGATTTTCTAAATTATACCGGATGAACATTATTAAAAAAATCTTAAAAACTTTAATGAAACTTTTAATAAATTTTATTTTTAAAATTAATAATAAGTATTTTTACTTACAGCATCTTACTCGTTCTTCACTTATTCAACAATTATGTCTTTTACAAAGATTTTATTTGAATGAATTATATACAAATTCAATGAATACATCATCAGATCGATTCGAAACGGTTTGAATATAAAATTTATTTGACAAAGTTTTTCTTCATTTTAATAAAATATATAGAAATATCGTGATATGATTTTGGAATTACGACGAAGTGCATTTGATACAGATTTATTATTATCTGATCAAAGTTGCCAAGATTTAAATAGTCGAGTATCATCAGGAAATATACATGAAACAATAACAATGTCAACAATGAATCCTCGTCGAGTTGAAGCATTACAACGTGATTATGAACGTCTTGGATTTCAAGTTACAATTTTTAGAAAAAAAGAAAAGAGTTTTATGAACTAGAATAAAATTCATTTTTTAGGATCTTCGAGAACCAAGAAAAGATTTTCAAATAATTCCACCAGGTATATTATCATTACAAAATTTATTCTATTTTTGTATACATCAAAAAAATGATTTTATTCGAGTATGTTAAATTGAATTTTTTTTTGTTTGAAAATACAATCAATGTTTAGTTTGTTCTTGAAAATTCATGTAAAACGCTTCAACAACAATGTCCATTAGTTAAATCAGCTATTGAAATTACACGAATACTTTGTAAACTTTTTCATATTGGTGTTGAACGTAAATATTTTATTTAAAATATTAACAATTAAAAAAAAACAAAAAAGGAAAAAATTTCTTTAGCAAATCGACATCAAATGCATAAGGACTATTTCTTACTCTTCTATACAATATCATCATTTTTTGAACAAGCATTTGTTCGTTGTCTACTTTTATTTAATAAAACATGGAAAGAAATGCGTGCTTGTGATGTTGATTTTCAAGTGGTATGATTTGAATTTTATCATTGAAAATAAATAAATATATTCTAGTCATTTTTTTTATATATTAGGTTAGTTCAGTTGTATATCAACAAATTTCACAATCACTTGATGATATTTCTTTAATAAATTCATCAACAACAGCAAATAAAACAATAATATCATTATATTCACCTTCAAAAAATCAAACATTATTATCACCAGTAATTAAATCAACAATGAATACATCATTAACGTTAGCTATTTTACAACGATTTACATTTGATTATTTTTCTGAAAGATTAAATACAAATAATTATAAAAATATATGTAGACGACGTGATGAACAAGAATTAAAAAGAGAAGAAACAATTATGAAATTACCTATTGTTGAGTGAGAATTTTCATTCAATTAAATACAAAAGAAAACTATTTGTGATTTTAGAACATTAAAAGAACGTTTAAGATCACATGTTCAATCCTTAACACGTCAAGCTCGTCTCAAAACAATGAAAAAAGGTCAAATATTTATGACCTATGAAAGTCGTTCTGGTGCAAAAAAAACAAAAAGTATTTATTCAATATTTAATTATACACAATACTAATATTTTATTGATTTATATATAGATCGTTTAATGTACTGGCAATTACTTGACAATGAAAAACATGTACAATGTAGTGAATCACCAACAACAGTCATTAAAGAAAATAATACAAGAGATAGTTCAACAACAAGTCTTACTAGAACAATGAGTATGTTAACTCTTTACTCTTCAACAGTAGTTCCAAAAGAGCTGCTAATTAAATAAATTTATGAATAGAGTATTAGCCTTTCTAATATGCCAATTATGTAATGAGATTCATCAAGTGTCTTGCTCTTGATGCAAGGTAGTTTTGAGTACTTCAATGATCATGTGTTGGAAAATACGGATTGAATGACATGAAACGCTCGGATTTGTCTTTTCTTTCATGACACGATTGAGTGGGAAAAAAGCAGCTTATGTTCCATGCTATCGAGAAGTAATGAATAAAGAAGGAGATAAATATATAAAAACTAATTTTGTTATAGTATGTATTTTTTTTTCGACACATTGTTAAATAATGACCTTTTTTCTTTGAAGTATTATATTATATTCTTAACTGTTTTATGTGTATCCAATAGTGGCAACATAGTTCATTTTGTACCTACTTGTTTTGTAATTCGTAAAGCTATATCATAAAACAAATTCCAAAGATCTCTACTGCTTGAAATTAGACAATATTTTAAAAAATTTCATTACGATAATTCATGAAGTCAACTACAAAACATGGTTTTAAAATTCTATACATTATTTAGTTTTTGTAATCGATCTACAAGTGATCACTTTAGTAACACATGAGTGGTACTAAGTTAATGAAGATTCATGTTGTCTTAAAAGACAATTCAATACTGCAATATGTTAATAAAAAAAAATCGTTTCTTTTTCGTAATTAATAATTTTAATACATAGACTAAAACTAATTAATTTTACTAGAAAAATCTTCATATTTATTGATCTCTTTTTAATATAACTATTATACTTATATGAAATATATTCTACAACAAATTTTATTTAGTTTCACTTGAAAATGTCAAAGATGTTCAATGTAATATTGATCAATTACGTTCCGGTAATTTGAATACACAAGAACGAATTCCAAAAATTCCTCGTCATGTAAATGTTTATCATGACATTTTTTAAACTCATTATTATAAATAAAGTAATCATTTATCCTTTTCATAGAGTAATGCACATATGAGTGTAACAATCATTCTTCAAAATGATACAACATATACATTATTATGTGAAAATGATTATGATATGTCATGTTGGAGTGATGGATTTAATATTCTTTTACATAAAGAAGTATAATTAAAAAATAACTTCAGAATTTTATTTCTTTTTTTTTCTCTGTTTAATATAGATGGATAGTTTTTATGCTCGAGAAGAAATGGAATTATTATTAGATTTACTTTGTCAACTTCAAATATTAGAATTAGATAGTCCATCAATTACTTTACCACAACATCAATTACCTGTTCCTATTCGTTTACCACCAATTCGTCCTATATCTTCCACATAATATTTTCTTTCTTTTTTTTATCTTAAATCGATCTTTAATATTTAACTAAAAAAAAATCGAATTCTCATTTATATGTGTTTATATATATTTTTTCTTTTTGCATATTGATCTTTTATTTTCAGATTTATATTTCGTTAAGTTTTTGTTTCTTTTGCTTACTACAAAAAATTAAAAAAACAAATGGATTTAACAGTTCGTAAACAACAACAACAGCCATCACCAGCTCCTCCATCACGACCCATTTTAAATCCAGCAGCACCAACTAGTATGTTACAAGGTTCACCTGATCGAAATTCACCTCATTTACCTCCTCCTCCTCCTACAACAATTACTGTTCCTTCGCATAATTCAATTCCTCAACAACAAATTAAACAACAATCTCATCAATATGTTCCTGTAACTCCTGTTGTTCAACAACAATTAAATCAAGTTCAACAACATCAACAGCGTGTTATGCAACAATCAAAATATGCTCAATTACTTAATGTTATTGAAGAAATGGGCAAAGATATTAAACCAACATATGCAGGAAATAAAAATTCAGCTGAACGTTTAAGACGTGCAATTGCTTCAGCTCGTGTACTTGTTCGTGAATGTCAACTTGAATGTGATCGAAATAGTCGACCTTAGAAAAAGGACAACAAAAAAATAAAACAAATTATGTAAATAAATATTGGTTTGTTATTATTTCTTGTCTAAAATAAATCATTCGATCAAATAAAATATTGAAAAATAAAATTTTGCTTTCATAATTAAAAATTAAATAATTCGAGTAATAAATAGATTCTATGCAACTAATATTGATTCTACACTTCTAAACAAAAGTATTTTCTCACCTTTCATTAGATCTCAGTCACTGTAAAGGATAGATGTCTGAAAACTTGCATGTCCATTCTTGCTTGAGGAGACACTTATGTATGATAAAATGATGTCAATTTTTACTTTGAACTTCAAAAATTTGCACGGCAAAGACGTTATGAGTCGACGGATCTTTCATTTCTTTCAGCTACTTGTTATACAAATTTCGTAAGTGTTCGTTAACCTGGTTCAAGAATTTTGATCATTTTACTCTAATCATCGGCGTACAAAAAAGACCCTATCTATTGCTCTTTCAAGATCCGTAAAAAGTCGGTGATAGTCCAATATATTAATCTAAAAATTTTAGAGAAGCTTCCTCTATATTTTGGCATTAAATGAAATCTCGATAATACTGTCACTTCACATGTTTGATGGAGTATGAACATACATATTTTCAAACCTTTATTCCTTATAATCAGTGAGATCCGATGAAAGGAAAGACTTTTGTCCGCAGTGGGTATGTTTCAAGTGCTTTTTGGTTTTATTTATTATTTGCAATTATGAATCATTTACAGTGTTATTTCCTCTTTATTAGGTATTATTTTTCTGAATTGATATTATTTTGAATTGATGAAAACGATTCATATATTCGCTGGTACATAGCATAAAATTTCATCGGATAAACATTATATATTTTAATAAGATTCAATTATTATAAGCTCACAAATTGACTATTCTTTCAACAAATTTTCCTTATACTGACTCCATTTAAAAATCACCATATTCTATTTACTTATTAATTTTACTAACATAAAATATATTAAAGATAAGATACAAATAGAGAATACAACAATAAATTACTGTTCGTCTTCGTATTAAATCACTATAATGGACTACTTATTGATCGTTGTAAGGCTAATAATTTTTCTTCAAGTTCATCAGGTTTAAATACCCCATGTTCTGTTATAATACCAGTTATTAATGAAGCAGGTGTTACATCAAAGGCAGGATTCCAAACATGAACACCTTGAAAAACAAATAACAATAATAAAATGATAAATATATTAACATTTTGATTTTTTTTATATAAATATTTTACCTTCTGGTGCAAGATTAATTCCTTTAATAGTAGTCATTTCACTTGATGGACGTTGTTCAAGAATAATTTCGTCACCAGATCTTTTAGTTAAATCAACTGATGTTGTTGGTGCAGCAACATAAAATGGAATATGATGATGTTTAGCAAGTATTGCTAATTGATATGTACCAATTTTATTTGCTGTATCACCATTAGCTGTAACACGATCAGCACCAACAATAACAGCATGTATTGGTTGCGTACGCATTAAAAGACCAGCCATTGAATCACAAATCATTGTATGTGGAATACGATCATGTACTAATTCATAAGCTGTTAATCTTGAACCTTGATTATATGGACGAGTTTCAGTAAAATAAGCTAATTGTAGAGCATTATTTGCAGCTAATTGTCTTATAACTCCAAGAGCAGTACCAAAACCAACAGTTGCCAATGAACCTGTATTACAATGTGTTAAAATACTTAATTTTTTTTTATTTGAAACACTTTGACATATAGCTTCAGCACCATATTGACCAATTAAATGATTGTCAAGAAGATCACGTTGAAGAAATTGTTCCATAAAATCAAGTAATTCATCAATATATAATGTTAAATTTTGTTGTTTATTATTTAATGGTATTAAATAGTCAATAATTGTTTTAGCAGCCTCAGTCATATTAACTGCTGTTGGTCGAGCAGTTACTAAATAATTAAGTTGATCTGTAACAAATTGTATAACAGATGATATTGAATCAAATTTCGATCTTGAATTATGTAATTCAACAGCAATACTTAATACACCACATACAGCAATGGCTGGAGCACCTTAAAAGTAAAAACAAAAACATATATATATATATTTACTAATTTTGATATCAATTTAATTTCATTGAATTTTTTTTAATTATTTTTAGCAAAGAGGATACCTTTGAAAACTTTATTTAAATGAATTCTAGAAAAAAATCAAATATTTAATATTATATTATTACTATTCATACCTCGAATTGACATGGTATGAACAGCTTTCCATGCATCATCAGTTGTATGAATTTGTATATAAACAGTTTCATCCGGTAATTTTAATTGATCCAAAATTGATAATGAACCACGTTGATATCGTATTGCTTGCAATGTTGGTGGAGCTTCCATTACTAAAAACTATAAAAGAAAAAGAAAACTTAAATAAACTTTCTCATAAAAAGAAAAACCACAATTTGTTAGATGTTTTTTTATTTTATTTTTTATCCAAGTTACACTTACGAACATATATGCGTTAAGAATGAACAACAAGAACAACAATAAAAAATAAAAAGAAGCTTATGAAAGACAAAGGATAAAGCGAAAGCAGTTTTACACAACACTCTAACAGATCATGTTATGTCAGTTGAAGTTTATCATCGGAGATTCACTCATCTTTCTTTTTTTTAGCGTTTTTTCAAAACGCTAATATCATGGAGAAAGAATATCATCATCATTGCGCACATCTGCTCCTGTTTCATCAAGAAAATATCCTGGTCTTGGTGTATTGGCATTGCAACGACAACAAAAATCACATCCATCAGCAGCTAAATGACCTAATTTACGCCACATTTCAATATTTGGAATTTGATCAACACCACGAGCACCACGTATTATACGCATAAATAAAAAGCCGCCAATTAAATAAGCACAAGCTAAACAGAAAATACTAAAAAGAAGAAGAGAACGTTAAAGATGAAAGATAATAATCGGAAATTCAATATAGTAATTTACGTGATGAGAAATATGGCACCACCGCTCATGCCTTTTTTCTCTTGTGGAACAACCGGGCACATTTCAGGGATTTGAACTTCAAACAGATAATTACAATGCTCATTCTTAGCTGTATGTTCTTGAACAACTGTAATATTATTCTGAAAAACAAAAAGACTACAATCAAAAGTTCTTTTACATACAATCCATTCTGTTTTTTTATATTGAAATTTTTCATGGAAATATGCTACAGAATTTTTATCTAATTTGTACTTTCATTTATTGTTTGGAAGGAAAACAAATTATTTATTGTTTTCTACTAGTTTATTCTTTGAATTCGATGAGTTTCGTTTTTGTTTTATAGAAGAATGAGAAACGAACCATTAAAAGATTTTTATCTAACGAGGGAATGTTTTTAATTGATCAATCATTATTTCACTAAACGATAATAGATGCTACGTTATTGATCATGCTAGTGCGGAATATGATTTTCTTTGGTCTTCATGTGTTTGTATTCTGCAATAATAAACATTTTGCTAAAACCATTTTTAATCTACTCAGATTATAGCAACATATGAAATTGTCTCTAAGTCAATAATCTTTTCTGTTTAAAAAAAATTAGTTTTAAGTAAATGAATTAAAATGGTTCTATTTCCTCGAAAAACAACAATTTAAAAGAGAAAAAAAATATTGTTTTCAAAGAAATTCTATTTCTTCTATAATCTAGACAGAGTAAAAACAATTTTTAACGAAAAGTTTTGTAATCTAGAAAAAGGAAGACCTAAGAAAATGTCTCATAGTCATATTTAGAATCAGCATGATCCATAACTTACAATTGACTAGCTTTCAGTGGGAAAGCGATTGCTCAGTTGAAAACGTTCTCTTGTAAGCTAATATATCATATATATATATATATTTGACAAATGACACACTTCAGACTAAGCTATGCGGGTACCCGCTTCCTGCTTCACGATCAAAGTCTTCCATTTTTTTTCTCTTTTATAATATAATATAATAAAATGCGCTCTATCTAGAATATATATATATATATATTGGGAATGATATATCTGTCTTTTTTCATGTTTAAAAATGTCAAAAATAATATTATCAAAGAGCAGCAACATATTTATTATTTGCTTCCCCTTTCTGTCCGATTATGCAATCTAATCTAATGAACTCTTTTTCTAAAACTTCCAAAAATAGGAAAATTTAATCTTAAACATTATTAGTTTAATAAATAAAAGTCTTTATCTTACTGTATTCTGTCCACAAACAAACAAAATTGAAGCTGAACGTGTATTATTGTAACATTGATTGACATATCGATGACCATTTTGATAAGTCAGAAGTATCCAATTAGCTATTAATGAAATTGTATTCATTTGAAATTAAAATCAAAATAATATGATTAACCTCCTTCAACAATATTAGTTTCATTTAATTGTCCGAGAACATAACTATTATTGTTTTCTTTTTGTATTATAGCTTCATGAGTATTCGAACTATTAGGTGCTAAACAAATTCCAATTTGATACGTTGATGTTGATGTGATTTTTGTGAAACTACATACAAAAGAAAACAAAGAAAACAATAAATAATAAATATAATCGAATAATAACAAGTTTATTCACGCTTTATTATATATTTTCCATTTCTTTATTTTATCTTGAAGAGTCTGTGAAGTATTTGGACGAAAAATACAATCACCATTGACTAATGCACAAAAGACGATTAAGAAGAATATCACACGCATAACAATATCTTTGGATGAGAAAAGATAATCTAAAAAGTTTTTTTTTCTTCTTTATGCTTCTTTTATTCACATTTTTTTTACATTAATTCTATGCATGAATGAATGAATACTATAGAGAAAAAAGACCCCACATAACATCCATTTTACACATTGTTTCTTTCGTTCTCTTTTTATTTTTCCTTGTGCGTCGATTTCATATGAAAAAACGACGAAAGAATAAAGGGAAAAAAAAGTATACGACTGGCACCGATTGCAATCACAAGCATAAAGTTGATGTGTTCAAGGTTAGTTGAAAATACTCATATATATATTTTATAATGTCGTTTATTTATCTGTTATTTCCATTTTTTCTACTTTTACATGTCAAACTCATCGATCTTCATCAGAATAAAATATTCGTTTGTTCTCTTTCTACGTTTTCTTTTTCTTCTACATGGATAAACAATGACAAACGAAAAAAGCAAGATTCACATAAAAACGATATGAAATAGAACAAGAAAAAAATGTGTATATAGTTAACCTTTTACGTCTATTCAAAGTAAGTTGTCTGATGTCGAATGCTTTAAGGAAAAAAAGGTAATTTTATTATAAATCCTCCTTTGAAGGGCGTACGAAGAAAAAAGAACATCGTGTAACTTTCTTTGACAAACTTTAATGGATCAAATTTATATCTTCTAGAATAAGAATGTCAGTCTCGACTATAGAATTTGATTCTTTACAACAACAAATAAAATCTGATCATGAACATACACCTACAATAAATAAATCAACAGACACGATTCGACAACGAGTCGAAGATCGTCATTGGCAATTATTTGAAACACGTTTGAAAAAACAATTACCAAAAGTAAATAAAGAAAGTTATACTAATCCAAATGATTACCGTGTAATTGATCGTTTAAAAGCAGTCGATCAACCACAACCGCCTATTGAACCAAATAGACGGTGGGAAACATTTTGTAACCAAATTACAAATAAATCAAATGAAACACATCTTCTTATGTCTATATTTCATCATGTTTGGCTTAAGAATTGGAATACAAAACAAACAAATGAAATAGAAAAACGACTTTCGTCTGATCCAACATTAAATAAAAATACTTTTGTAAATCATATATCACCAAATGGTAATGATCGACAAGTAATTTCCTCAATACTTTATCGAACTACTTCATCTGACAAAGTTTCTGCTGATAAAGATAAAAATATGTAATATGAACTTTTTTTCCTTTACTTTTCTCATGGGTCTTTTCTTTCTTTTTCTAATGAAGGTAATTGGATCTTTTTTTTTCTGCATATTAGTTATATGATATTAATACTTTTTTTTTCTTGGAAAATAAAGAACGATGGTAAAAATTACTCAGAAGCAGTTTCGACGAGTTCATACTTATATTTATTAAATAATAAGTGTACTATCTCATTTTCACAATTATTCATATGGATATTACGTCTAGCTGGAAAAATAAGAAAGAGCACTCGTAATGAAAGATGATGATTAATAAATAATTCTTAATTTCCTAAACATTAAGTTAAAACCTACGGAAAATGTTTCCCTTATCGTGATCATAACGTCTATATTCAACTCATGCAGGGATAGAAATAAAATAATGCTAATAAAACTACTAATCATAGGTATATATGCATATCAATGTGTAAGTGCAAATAGCGTAATTTTTTTTTGTTGATCAGATTCTAATCTAATCCAAAACATTTCGAAAGAGGTCGTGTGTATCAAACTTTTATAATCCATTAATTTAAATTGATAGTACTTGCAAATAATTCATGAATGTATTTGGAGATAATAAATTAGTATGTTCTAGTTAAAGAAAAAGTCATTGAAATTAAGTTCATTTCCTTTTCAACGTACATAAATATCTATTTACTGTTAATAAACGAGTATTTTCTTCGGAGAATACGGTGAAGTATGCTTTTATCTTTGAGAGCACTCGTACGAACAATGGTTTTTTTTACTCACGCAATAAACAGATCAAAGTTGCATATAAACAAGACGACGAAAAAAATCAAATGCAAAGTATATTCTTCAAATAATGACGACTAAAATAAATTGGAAACTATTTAATGAGAAAAAAAAAAATTTGCTTGTATTCGATATAAAATAGACTTGTTACTTGAAAATTTATTTTGGACTGAAGAATTTTTATCTTCTACTTTTTTTTAGTTAAGCTAAATCGACAAGACATACATTATCAGTTACTAAAATTAGTTCTTTATCCTGAAATATAAGAAAAGCGATAATCTTTTCTTAAAAGATCTTTCTTTAAATAGTATAGCTTACGAGAACAGCAAATTCTCATTTATTCACAAAGTTCTTTTTAGTTATTATCATATTTCTATTAGCCAAGAATACGACTTAGGTTTATACCGGTAGAAATATGCGAGGGATTTTCACATGTTTTGAAATATTTTCTACTTATACTTTGTTTTGACGATAGATAAAATAAATCCGGTGTCGGAATTTTCTCGCAAAGAAATTATCCAACAAAATTATTTATAGAATGAAATCCTATAAGAATACTCAAGATCTCATAATCGATACTCAAAATATATTACTTTTCTACAAAGAATATCGTATATTTAAGATATTCGATAACTTCAATACGAAATTAATACAAACTTCTATTAGGAAATATTTGATTCAGAATTTTGATGAACAATATTTTGAATAAATATGAAAAGAAAATATTATTTAGCAGCATCCACACGATTCATTTTTTGGGTGTCTTTTCTTTCTCATTTTTATTTGGATTTGTTTACCTTTTTATTTAGCTTATAGGCTTTCAACAAGAAATATTTAGTGTAGTCTTAAGTTTATTTATACATTGCTTTCAAGAATGTCTCGGGATCACTAAGATTAGGAGGAGGGGGGCGGGGCGGACAACTACTGCAAAGGAGGGTTTCTCACATTGGCGGAATCAAGCCTTGTTGTGAGGATAGGTGAGCAGAAAATTTTGAAGAAAATGTTTCAATTTCGCTGAAGAAAAACAAGAATTTTTCAAGATTGAAGAGTCACCCCTCTACTCCGCACATCCCTGATTGCTTTCATTCTATAGTGCAGACGAGTATTCTTTACTCGATCGTTGATTTATTTGTTGAAATCACATAGTGATAATACTCATGAGTGATTTCGATAAATTGGGTTCAACTGGTCCATGAATCTTTTATTGGTTTCTCTTAAATAAAATGAGTATAGGCTTGAATCATTGACCGATTTATTGACTTTTATTTATATATTTCATGCTTACAATTGACACTATTGTCTGTAAGAACTTTCATTTCATTAGTCTTGCCTGACTACATCCTATATGACCTTTACATCTACTGGCTTGCTTCGAAATCTAATATGAACTACGAAGAAAAATTTAGTAAAATCAAGATAATTTTCGAATTTTAGTAATATAACATGACTTTCGTTAGAATGATATATTTCTGAAGATATCACAAAACAGTAAAGTAGATGTACAAACGATGAACGTTCCCTGATGTTTTTCATCATTGAAAATCTTTATGCTAAACAAAGTCAATTTTATTTATTCATTATTCAAACATTTCCAGTACCTTGATGTTGCTTATTTTTTTTACATAGAACTACAAAACATTTTCTAATTACTGTCTGATTTTCTCATTGCCAATCTAAATACTGTCGTTGTTTGCAACAACTTTTAGAATAGCTTCTTCTGTAAGAAAAATCTGTCTGGTTTTAACAGTAAGTTTTTTTTTGTTCAAATTATATGGCACATATTAATATTTGTATTCTATTATGACAAATGATTAGAAACTTACCAAATCGTCTGAAGATATTTTTGTAAAAGATTTTATCAGAGACATTTTGTTATATATCCAAACTGCCACCAGGATTCTCAATAGTATTTAGAAGTGTAGAGAAGTAAAGACTTGACAGACAGTTGAAGGCAGTCTGTTTGACAGCAAGTGACTGAGAGAAGTTGTCTTCTAAAACTTGGCAAACAGTTTTCTAGTAATGGCACGAAATTTCTGTTTATACGATGCAGAAAGAAAAGGGAAAGGAGTTGGCACACTGCAGTCTCTCCCATCGAGACCTATGACTATTACATTCATAGAAGGTCTTTGCACTGACGCAACATATCATCATATCATCATATCTATCATTCGATCTTCATCGGAGATTAATATTTTTTTGTACGATATTATTTTTCTCGTTATCACCTTTCTTAACGAGTTTTTCGGCTAGTCGCTCTTATCTTTAGTATATCCTATATTATATATATATCTTATCGTTGATAATCTTGTTTGATCTTGCTCTAATATTGGTTCTGATAAGTTTAGGTTATTCAGTATTATTTGATATCCTTGAGATAATTAGCAAGATCGTTAGTTTGATTTTTAATCTTTGTCCACATTACACAAAATAAGCTTGAAGTTATATATTTTGTTATTATTTTTCCAAAGAAAAATTATATTTTGTAGAATGATCTCATGAATGATTGTCTTTCATATATTTATATTTAATTCTACAGTGAATTGATATCTTGATAGTGCTTTTCTTTCAGGATCAAAGCACAACATCTTCCACAATCCGAATTATTTCATATAAGTAAACAAAAAAAAAACAAACTATAGCAAATGTTTCCAGTAAAACAACAAAACACATGTTGCCGATGAAAGAAAAAGCTGAACTAAATTCTTTGTTCACAAGTATTGGTAAAAATATTTAAATCTTCATACCCACAAAAGAAGAATTATATTTATAGAATATAAATTACACAAACAAAAGTTTCAACTTGTTATTTTTCCGCTTCATTCATACTAGTTTTTGATTGATTCATTGTTGATAAGTTATAAATATTAATACAATATAAACATTACAAATAGAACATTCATTTTCAGTAACAAACATTCTATTTAGGTTTTTTTCTAATACTCATACAATTGATATTTGTTATTGAAGAATTTTATTATTATACAATAAATCGAATTAAAACATGTTTTTGAATACACATGTGAGAACAAAAAAAATGAAAGAATGGAAATATTCATTAGTTAAGACAAAAGAATTGTGCAAGTGATGAAACATACACATTTATACATATCCTTCTCATATTCTAAGGTTAAAAAAAAATAATAGATAACCAATTTAGTAGTTCTATTGGTTTTGATCCTAAATGATCAATTGTAAAGGAACTATGAAATTCTTTTCTCCAATCAAGACTATCAGTGTGTCTAATGTGTTCTTTTTTTATCCATGATTGAAACGTTACTTTTTTGAAACCATTAATCATAAATGATTACGATATTTTTCAGGCACATTAACAAAAATTACATAATAATTGTTTCTTCCATTCTAGTCGATTAGACAATAAAATTCGATTTTTCTCTTTGTTTTGGATAAGAATAATGAAATCAAAATAGGAAATAGTTTAGTAGATTAACGAATTCGAATAATTATAAGTCAAGTGTTTCGTTGTCTTTTTTTTGTGAAGTTTTAAAATACAATGAATTTAAAATAACTTATCACGAATGTTGGTTTGAATATCTTGAACTGTCATATTCAATATCAGATATTATTCCTTGTTGTTGTGTAGAAGATAATGAACTACCATACAATCGTTGAACATAACAAATCGTACATAATATAATCAATAGAAGAAAAGCAAGACTAATACCAGCGCCTATATAATAATAAAGACGTTGATCATTAGGACCTTTACTAGTTGCCGCAAAATAAAATAGAACAATAGTAAGAATAAGTATAATAAAAACAAAGAAGAGACACGCATGAACACATCGCTCTTGATCGGTCAAGTGTGATTGATGTAATGTTGTGTCACGGCGACGAAAGAAAAGCATAGTAATTATAATACTCAAAAAAGAAAATAATCTAAATGAATAACAGACAAGCAATAAAGTACATGTCTTTATATATATAGGTTGTTGTGATATATAGATATATCAATGTGCTGAAGTACATACTGCTTTATTCACGCTCGATCAACACCATTTTTGCGAAAAGAATCGTCATAAACTACTCTATCGGCATTCCTTGTAGGCATATGCTCTTGTTTACGCTCTAGAAAAACAAAATCAGACCTATTTATCACATATTAGCCGATGTGACGGCATCCACACCAAACATCGTCTTATTATTACAGATTGCTTTTCCCTTGCTGCCAATAAAAAGACAGTAACAAGAAGAAAGAGAATAGTTAAGACCATTAAGTGTAGAGAAGACGTCCCAAAGTGCGAATCAGAAAGACAAACGTCTTCATATTTTCTCATCAGTTTCTATTAACAGTTCATTGAAATCAGTAGATGGATAAATGTTTGTATTTTTATTGATCGTAATAGTTCTTTTACGTCACGTACTTACGGAATGCATGTTCGATCAAAAATCATGTTAAATAATAAAAGCGAAATCGACATAACTCTTTCTCTTCTTTTTTTCTATTCTCGTTAAATATATTAAAAAAAGAAAAGCAATTGTTCATCGTAGGCGAACAAAAGTAGTAGTTTCAGAAAGTCAATAGAGAAAACAATGTTTCCTTCTCGTCTATTATTATTCGATGTCACATCAATGGTTCATTTTTCTTTTCGGTTTTACTTCTTTATCGTCATCCTCTTCTTTTTTCTTTGTTCTTTCCATCTCTTTTCTTGGCTTTTCTTAAGTTTTTTTTATTATGATTTGTTATATAGTAACAATTGGCAAAAAATCACACGGGAATAAAAGCAAATTCTTTTCTTACAAATCTAGTCACATAAATCTCTTTATAGTAAATCACAAAAGAAAGAAGAAAAAGAATATTCAACAAGTTTAATGAATCGTTTTCTTCTTATCCGAGAATTTTCTTTTATGTGTCACTAAATGTTATTTGTTACTCGTTGCTAAAAAGAATCCGAGTTAGATAAAAGAATAGATACGGTAAAAAAAACACATAATAGATGTTTGTTCTGTTCGATAGGACACAAAAGAACGACACTAGAACAGTTGTTGAAAATTGTTGTTGAATATTCGGAGAAATATAGAACACATTTTTCTTGATTGAATTATTCATTGATTCTATCATTTCAACGACAAGGACATACTTATTGTTGTTGTCATATTGTATACATTCTATCGTATATGATTTACTAAATAATATCAAAAACAACTATTTGCATTAGTTATACAACCAACAAGAATACAAAAACTTTTCAATTTCATCATCATGATAGACAAATTAAATTTTTTTTTATTGGTAAATAAATAGAATATTTCTTATCTGACATACATTTAAATGTATACAGATCGGACAAGAAAAGAAAAAAATAAATAAATAAAGTTTCGAGGTCAAAATCTTTTTTTTTTGTTTGTACATACAATTACAAACTACATTTATTGACCACATCTAAATTATACTCATCATTATTAGCATTAACTAAATGTTTTTTATTATGATAATCAATAAGTTCAAGTGTAGTCATTGGATTTGGATCTTCATTAATTGCATAAGTTACTTCAAAACGTGTTATGGATGTATTTGGTGCTATGTCTTGTATAGTATCGAAATGTTGTCCTATATCAGCTTGTAAATCAGAGGCAAAATATTTTATAAATTCTCGTATAACAGCGCCATGACTAACAATCAATATATCAAGATCAGAAAAATTATTTTTATATGGAGAATTTAATAAATATTTAGATAAATTTTGATGTTTTTCAAAACTACTATGACGTGAAAGAAGTGATATTGATGATGATATTGATTGTTGATCAGATGATATAGATGATAAGTCAAATGCTGAATCAAAAGATGATTGACATGATGTTGCTTTCATTATATTTGTTGCTAATTTAATTTGAATATTGCTTGCTGATAATGAACGTTTATGAGTTGAATTTGTTATTGTTTGTTGAGAAGAAATTAAATTTTCTGATGAAACACTACGTAATAAAGATTGTTCATGATTTTGTTGTGATAATGAAATAGGTATGTAAAATTTTGTTGGTGATGATGATGCTGATGAATTTTTACGAGAATTTTCAAGAAGTTCATGGCATAAATTTCGAAAAAATTTTATAACACGTTCACGTACTTGAGCTGTGCTTTCAGCACCTGGAGGTATAAAATTTATATAGGGAATACCACTTTCTTTTGCTAATTCATGTAACCATTGACGTGTTCGACCTTCTGCAATACCATACATCTAAAATAATTTTTCAAAACGAATAATTTGGATTAGGTAATATGCAAAAAAAAGTAACTTACTCGTTCACATAATAAAGAATCATATTGTATTTCGCATGGTGATACACGATTGAATGAACGAATTTGACGAGCTGTCTGAAAGATTTTAAAATAATTGTTAAAAATAAATGTTATTAAAAAGTCTGACGAGCAGAACTGATAAACAAGATGAATAAGTATGAATATATAAAAGAAAAGAAAATATAAGTTTTTTTTATTGAATAACAAATGAATGAAAGTTATGCATGTTGGATTTTTATTTTCAACAGAAAACTTAAGGATATTTTTTCTATTCTTATGATCAATTTTTAAGTGAGATTCTAATTTCATAACATTTCTTTTGTTGAAAACAAAAACATTTGAATAGATGGTTTTCTATGAATGATATCTGGTATTTATTACTCGTTTCCAAGTATCCTTCGAATTATTTATGCATTATCTGTACTCTATTTTGTCCAAAAGAACTCAAAGACAGATAGCTTTTATAATATTACTACATATATCATGTATATGAAATAATGACAACAGCAACTTATATATGTTCTTTAGCATTTAACACCTTGTCACCTCCACAGGGGCAAAGACGAATCTATCTATTATTTGTTTATTCCGAAGAGATAAGACAACGAAAGGACAAAAATCCACATACCTCTGCTGCTCGTTTTAAGTTGCTTGAATAGATATGTGAAAAACGATGATATTGAAGATATTGGCCAAGTGCTTGTGATTGAAGATAGCCAATATTGGATAATTCAGTATCTACTAAACCTTGAATAATACCTTCAGCATTTGCATTTGTTTCAGCACTTTAAAAAACGAAAATAAACAAAAGAACATACTTGAAATTATTTTAATGCAAGATATTTACTGTCGAACTAGTGTTAAATTGAAACGAATATGATCGACGTTCTTAGTATTTTGTAAGATCGTTGTACTGTAAAAATAAAAATAAAAAGAAACAATTAATAAAAGCAAGAATAAGCAAAACACTGACCTCATCGTAACGATTCTGAAATATTTTCCATTGTTTTTTTCACAAATATGCACTTTTTATGTGCTTCTACTAAGTAATAATATATCACTGTTTGGAAGGCATGACTTAGTCATGAGAACAGATGGCTTGTTTTTTGTTAGACTTGACTAAAACATCCACAAAAATTTTATTTACATGTTACTTAAGGTGTGCATGACTACGTTATATGCTTTATTGCCTTCGCTTATTTTTTTCTTCCCTGTTCTTTATTGCTCTGAATAGTTACATTAAAAAAATATAAAAGGATCAAGTATAACAGAAAAATAAGTATCCGAGCATATGAAGAATGTCGTCTTGTATACCTGTCGGCTGTTTAACAGACGGGTATTTTATTATTATTATTATTATCGACAGGCATTTAATCATCTTATTTGCGTTGTTTTTGTACTTGCTCTGATATATTTTAGAAAAATATGCGTTACATCATCTAGCAAATGGAATTTGAAGAAGAAAGAAAACGAAAGGGCAATGTGCAAAATATTTCGAGTACTTGCATGATGAATGCGTACGTCTTTGTCAACAGATGGACGTAAATGTGGGGTTTATGAAGAGATAAAAATAAAAGAAGAAATACATAAGCAACATATGTCATGACTCTGTAATTATGAAATAGATTTTAATATTCGTCTAAAAATATTTGTCTGCATAGTTTTTTTCACCCTACAAAAGAACGTAGGAGTTAAAATTGATTAAAAAAAGTTAGAATTTAAATTTTTCTTATATAAAACATATCGTTTTCGATTCTTTACTAATAAAGACAAGATGATATTTTTCTAATGCTTGTTGTGAGATAAGAAAGATTTTCTACATCGCAGAAAAATTTATTTTTATATTATACTTGTCTCGGTATCGATTTGCACCAGAATGAAATCAAGTATACTTCCTTATATAATAATTTGATTTCAATTTCGCGATGTAATCAAATTTGTCGAAAAAGGAATGTATAAAAAATGAGCTTCTATCTTCATTCTTATTTTTTTTTTGTGGTAACAATGATCTGTCTTTACTGTATGTTTTCATAGTCAATAAGATTGTTTTTTTGTATAACAATCCTATTTGAGAAAACGGATAAAATATAATTTACAACGGAGAAAATTGTTGCCCATGGTGAATTACAATAGATAGAAATAGAATCTTTAAATATAGAAATGTTTCTTTAATGATGTGCAACTAGTAACAACAATATTTAGATTGTTTAGTAGAAATAAATATTCATTGATTTATTTTCATACGAACGACACAATCAATTATGAAGCTAGACGAAAAAATAAACTTTTTATGAAGTGTAGTAGCTGAATAATACAACTTTTGCCAAGAAAAAATCGTGCGGATAAGAATATTTAGTATTATTTATTGTCTGTGCCTTTTTTATTGATATTGAAGACATGACGGTCATAAACTTTAGTTACAAGCGTCAGTAGACACACTTGAAAATAGAAACTACTGTAATAAATTGTCTTTTGTAGATGCTTTTTTTAGTTAGCAAATATCTATCATTCGTGACAATCTTCGAAGGATTATTATCTGAATTGTCCTAATTATAATTCTTAAGCAATAGAAAAACAGATATGACGGACAAGAATAATGATCAAAAATTTTCTGATTATTTTGACAATAATTAAAATTTATCTAGGAAAAAATCATAATTAAGCGTCAACATTTATTCATGAAAAATCTGATCATCACAAAGACAAGAAAAAAGATAATTCATTTTTGAAACGAGTATTGATAAGAAAAAAACTAATACAGATAAGATAATTATTAATCATTTCTTGATTTGCTTAATCATAATGACCTACTTGTTTTGCATGTCACGTTCGTACTTAGTCGCTTTAAAAGAAAAATGACATTGTAAACTTTGTAGTGATGATAACAATAGTCATTTGACGTCAGCAGAGACAAAAAGAAACATTCTTTGCTTAAGAAACAACGCTAGCAATTTGATACGTGGCGACCAGTAAATATCTCGTAACAAGTCGCATATGAAAAACGTGCTTAACACACGATAGGCTTCATTTATGAATCGAATAGTAAACCTTTTTTCTCTGTAATAAAAAACTTTAATCTATATTAAAATTAAGTTAAAAATAGATGATGCAACGGTCATGACATAGATCTTTGTTCTTGATTTATTCTACAATATTTACCTAGCTCTAATTGCGTTCGTGTACAGTATGATTATTGACTTAGGTTTGTTTGCCTTTTGATAAAAATTAATTGGAAAGAGAAACAATAACAACAACAGTTCTATTTATTATTGGATACAGGATATTCGATATTCTTTGTTTCTCGTATTTCAAATTTTATTTGATATTATACAAAAATGGAAAAAAATTCTCTTAAGTATTAACCCCTTATAACAGTAATAATGTTATAAGATATTTTAACGTAAAATCATAGGTAAAAAAAGCTTCATCAACTCAATAGATCAAGATGACCTTACCAATTAACACTTAATAAAGATTCATGTCTTCAGATAAATAGCATGATTTTTTATCCTAAGTCTTTTAAAGTTAGCAGAAAAATATCCAATGGCATAAAAACGAAGTTATAAGGATGACGTATCATCGTAAGTATTAAGCATCACTCGTTTGTTTTAAATTCCTTCAACACCATGACTTAAATACAGAACTACTCAATCAAAATTGCTCTTATAGAAAAAACGTAGATCTATTAACTATAATCAATCACTGCATAATTAGACCTATATAAATTTAGTTGCTGATAATATTGAAAGGAACATATAAATTAAAATTTAATTCTTATGCCATTTAAAATCAATATAGAGAAGATAATCCATAACTATTCTAATACGAACATAAAACCAATGTAACTCTTATTAAAATTAAAGTTTTATTTTGAAATGACAGAGTAGTTTTCACTGTTATTTGTGATAGATACTAAACCAATCCAATAGATAATGGCATTTTAGTATGCCTTACATACTGGCAGCTATTTGCCGAATCTTCTACTGTTTTCTAATACTTTTAAACGTATCGAAATTTAAAACTAAATTGATACCTACTGTCATATTATCATTGTCTTCAATTACGATCAGCAGTTGCATATTACGTATAGGTATCAATGATTGTAAAACTTTAAGATTTCATGAATATCATTGAATGAATCTGATTTCTAAATATTTGAGAACTATGGTATCTGAATTGTTTGCTATCATAAACCAACTGTTATGAAAAATCCAACCATAACAAGAAATGTTCATTGAGAGTCTTATCCACTTGATCCTAGACTTACGGGATTGAAATATACTTCTAAGCGCATCTAGATATAAGCTTGCATGAAGTAATATACAAGATAAATGCAAGAGATGTCTTAACATATAACAGCAACTCGTTTTACAAACAGAAAACCCGATTTTGAATATTAAATTCAGTTTGTATATGCGATATTATTAATTGTTCTACAGAAATTTTGTCAAGTTTTTTTATCATTACACAGTTATGCTATCATACTATGTTCTTGAAACTTTATTTTCAATTTTAAATAGTAATCGAGTACAGTGAATGAAAATTTGTTTTTATCATATATTGATATACGTTGAATTCTGAAGTTCATATTTATGATGTGTGATCACAAATAGTAGTATTTTTATTTTAGAGACTTTATATGCTCAAAGCTTCAATAATTTAAATAAAAAACACTCGATGTCAAGAACAATCCAATTTTTCATTATTCATATTATTCTGTCTATTCTTCCTGTTTTGAATAAAACTATGTTATATACGTATATATAGGATGTTCAGAAAATAACTACATAAAAAATTTTTAAATATCTCCGCCATATTTGAACCATATGGGCTAATATTTTTACCACTGATAAAGAAATGTTAATAGTTTATATTTAGAAGAGAAACGTTCTCGAAAATTGTTTTTTAAGTACTAGAACTGACATCAACAAAGATATGTAACATTTTGAGAGTTATGAAAAACTAATATTGTAGTTTTATCAACAAATAGAATTACTTTATCAGTGGTAAAAATGTCAGCCCATATGGTCGAAATATGGTAGAAATATTCAAGTTTTTCTTTATTTAGTTACTTTCTGGACACTCTATGTATTGATTTATAAAGATAACATATAAATCAATATCATCATTGATAATTACTGAAGTTATAGTAGCGCTCTGCTTATTGCAAATAGAAAGTAATATTTCATTATTAAAACAATGTGGTTTTAGTTTATTATAATCTTATGTTGAAACTCACTCTCTAACGTTTAAAAATGATTACATCATATCTTTATGTATACATCATTGAACAATCGATTGAACCATTCAATAATTTACTAACAATACTCGTCACTTCTAAAACTATCTCAAATCGAACAAATATATGCATAAATAACCGTAAAATCGTCATCTATAGACATGTTACAGAACTCAGTATTACGATCGTCTTTCTCTGTATATGTTGCGAAGAAAGACGATCATAATGCTGAGCCATGTAATAAACAAAAATATCGTGAAATACTGAGTATATTGAATCGTTTCATAGTGTTTGCAGTTTTCGTGTTCTTCGTCCTGCAATATTACTCTTTGGTTAAATTGAATCCTAAAATATAGATACCCTTTCTTGTCGTCCTACGTAGTCATTTGGACCATAGTTACCATACGATAATTATGTTGCAAACATAATGACACCGATGAATTTCTGTTTCCAAACTGTATCCTTTCAATCTATGGAAAGTATTATTCTAAATATAGATCTTGTTGTAACATACTTCATATTCTTTTTTCGATATCTTATGTCAATAAAGTAGCAATGTTCGTGGATTGTACCATGTTGAATATACATTTCTACGGAGATAATGTTAGAAAATTCATGCATATGCAAAATCCTATGAAAAAGTATTGTTGACTATTCTTATAGAGCAGAGCAGCTTGACAATCAAAAGAACAATGAATGTATATTGTTAATAACGCATAGCGTGCTTTTATTTGATACCATATTCATGTCATTTAATATCTGACAAATATTATTTGAAAAATTCCAATCAATATGTAACTTTTCTCTTGTATATTTTTCTTATTACAAATCTGAACATGTTATTAATCTTAAGTTCTGTTGTGTAATGAAACCGAAATATTTTCTTTCATCATACATGTATGTTATATTACTTTCAATTTTCACATTTAGCTACCATGTTTCGAATTCAATATTTCAATTAAAATGCTCGAAAATCAAATAAATCTCTATGTAAATTTTATTCAATGAAATATTGAAATCATTTATTCGAAATGACAATATTCTTTTATATGTGAATGAGAGTTTAATCGATGCAAAAAAAAGGTTATTTGCAGTCTATTTTTCTTGTAAGAATTGTTTCTATTTATATTAAATTTTCCACTAATCTAAGTATTATTCTAAAATGTCTTCTTTCTAATATAATATAGAAGAATCCTTGTACGATCATCAAAGTTTTCCAAGAAAATTTTTTTTGTCAAATAAATAATGAAAGGGAATAAGGGATCGATTTATTTTTTTCCTCTTAGTTTTCGCAATAATTAGCGACAATTATATGAATCAATAGACAAATAGATATACGTATATATATATATATTTTTTGCTTTTCGAAGACACACGATTAAAAGAACGATATAGTTGTAAATAACTCGACTCCAATTTTGTGATGTCTTTGTCCATTATTGATCCATAAATCCAGATTCATATAGTTTTTCGACCAATGATGCAAGACCTTGATTGACTGCTTCTTGTGCAAAAATTGGAATTTCTTCTAAACGACCATCATGTATCATTTGCATAATATTTCGAAAATGTTCAAGTTCAGCCGAAGACATGTGAGTTTTTTCAGCAAAATTACGAATTGTTTTTGCCACTAAAAAGAAAAAGAAATCAACGATCGATTTTATCAGATAAAAAAAAAATTAAAAAATTTTACCTGAAAATGCTGATGCCAATGTATCAAACCAGAATGGACTATTTTCTTCGACACTTTTCGAAATTTTATGACCAAATAAAAATGTAAATAATTTCAGACCATGTAATGCATATTCAGCTTGAAGGAATTTTTCAATATTTTCTTTAGCTGGTCGTTTAGCTTAAGTTAGGAAAAAAGAAACAAAAGAAAAGTTTCTTTTTTTGTTTTTAAATGCATGATATAGAAAATGAATTCTACCTGCGATGCATGTTTCTTCATTTTCATCCAGATTTCCTGGACAATCACCTGGATGACCATCGCAAATAAATTGAAGAGCAATGCATCGTTCACTTTGTGGACATTGAAATGGTTCCGATGGATCAATACATCCTAAATAGTGGAGAGAATATTCTTTTCTTTTAATAAAAAATTAACTCGAATACAAGGTTATCCGCCAATCAAAGATGAATTTTATTCTCAAGAGATAAATTGAGTAACTTTTATATATATTTTGTTTTATCGGAAAATTGAAGATTTTCTCAAGAGAAAATAAACAACGATAACACGCACCTTTAAATTGATGGGTTGGATGTAAAACATCATAGGGTGATAATGAAGAACGTTCACTTGATGCACTACCAATCGGTTTATTTCCAAGCCATTTTTTAAATATGTCAATTCGATGGCGATGAGAATTAGTTAACCAATTTGGTTCATGACTTTTGTCAGATAATTTAGCATGTTCGATAGCAGCATCAGTTTGTGTCAATATTGCTAACGAGGAAATTAGAATAGCAAACATAGGTGGAATAGATTTCATCATTGTTATTGGATCTTTTTCTGTCGTCTTATTAGCTTGGTCGCCTTATGTACTGAGGAGAAGAAAATGATATACTAGAAAATAAAAAGAAAGGCTCTAGAGAAATGTAAAACTAAAAATTAGATCGTTCTTTGCTGGAAACTGATTAATTTTTCAGTAAAAACGAATGAAAATTCCTTTTCTATTCTATGTTAGCGACTAAGGCCTATAATACAAATAAAAAGATTTAGATGTTGAATATTTCTCATACTGCTCTTCTTGTTTCTATGAGGAATCGTCGTCTCGAAAAGATGATTAGACAATAAAAATGGGCAAGAAACAAAAAAAAAAGATTGATCGCACCTTTGAGATGTTTTTTTTTTTTTCTATTAGATGTAATACTATTGTTTTTAGACTTATAGTAGTGCCATTGACATATGTTTTCATAAAACGATAATCTATTTTAATATATGAATAGGAAGATAAAGAACGGAAATCGAATCATTCAAGTGTAGATTAACAATGATGACACGCATATAGAGATATACATTATGTACGAATTGAGATGACAAACTTACGTTAATGATATACGATTGTTACTTACAGTGATAAAAAAAGAAATAAAAGAGAAGGTATTTGTCTCTAAAATCTTTCATTGATCAAGGAGAAACATAAAGAAAAAAACAGACATAGTTATGAACCGATTCTTTCGCTATCCATGTTGCCGCGTCTTTTTTTTTGCATATAGATCGGATAAAAAAAAAAAAGAAGAAATGCGCATAACAAAAAAATAACCAACAAAGTACTTTTTCTTTTTTCACTCACTAATATTGATGTGCTATATGCTTGTGGGTGAATAAAACGCATGATTATTACTAATAGAGCATTTTCGTGTTTTCTATAGTCATACCCATGTTTAGAACTCGTCTGAACAATCTGAGACTAAGGGAATTGTAAAAAGAAAGAGAAAAAAGAATAAAAATCGGAAACAACACCAAGAATACCCTTGTAATCGATGTCGATTCCCAACTCTAATTTAGTCAGGTTGCTGAGCGATATGTAGTGGTCTATTCGTATATCATTTCAGGATGTTTGTAAAATAGATGTAAAAAAAGGGAAGAAATACATTAATGATGAATTTCTCGAACAAGAAAATATCGATGAAAAACAATGCTTTTATTGTTGTTGCTGTTTACCTATCGGAAATTGTTCATGATGAACTAGAATACTTTATCATAAATGAAACATGCATCGGAAAAAAAAAAGAATAAAAACACTTTAATATCTGATATGAACGGATGTAATCGTTGATAGATAGTTGATGAAAAAAAAGACATATTATTAAATACAATAAATTTCTATATTGATTGAATGACTGTGAAGAAGAAAAAAAAGAAAAGAAATCATACAATACTTGTATTGTGACAATAGTTTTATTTAAAAAAAAATTAATTTGAATATTTTCCAAAAAAACAAGACTCTTATTTATTAAAACTCCGATGCATGCTTTCTAAATCGTTCAGAAATTCTTCTATTTACTAAAAAGGCTGAACACTAATAGTCTATTATATTTTTCTCTTTTCTCTCATAAAAAAGAATTGTTCGCTAAAATATTAGTGCTCAACATCTTTCCAAATAATGAACCCTTGATGAATAAATTGTTGCATTATTTAGGATATATTAAAAGAAAACAATGCTTCGATATACGTTTTCAATAATGAAATACCAATAGTTCAATATAACAGTTAACCAATATTGAAACATATTTAGAAACAATATTTATTAATAGGAAAAATTTACGTATATTGCTCTGACCTCGTTTGTCTCCTTTCGCATGACATCAAGAAGACTCTTCATTTGACTTGATTATCATGTTTTATTATCTGAATCTATGATGTTTCAACATAAACATTAGAAATATATTCTCAACGTGTTCTTAAATACATTTGATGATATTGGATAAGACTAGATTGATTCATTAATAACTGAATAATCAATATAGGTAAAAACAGTAGCTAAAACATGAATTATGAAAGTGAAAATCAATAAATAATTTAAGAAAAATATTTTGACACCAAACGATATTTTAGGCCAGAATTCGGGTATTTCTTGAATGGATACTTCGTGAACTGAATTCAAAATAGAACTCGGTTTAGTTCACTACTCACGTGTTGAAAATGATCTTGTTGTAGCAGAGAAAAATTTTAATTACTATGAAAAAAAGTATTAAAACATATTTTGCTTTTTTGTCAAATGCAGCAGAATTCGCCCATGAACTGCCTCCAACAAAACTAATAATAGTTTCAATGTGAGCTCTCCGTGCTTTATTGATTTCCACACCTCACTTATCAAAATCAAGTGAAGCATTAATGAAAAACAACGTAATTAGTCCTTTTTTTCATATGCATAGGTGTGATCACTTCAGTATAACTCGTCGACATTAGCCAAAGAGTCGAGTGCAGCAGAACTAATATTTTTTTCAAATATAAATCGTCAAACTCTATCGATTGCACACCTCACTTGTCAAACTCAAGTGAAGCATTAATCGGAAAAACACTAATTAGTCATTTTTTGTATATAGGATATAGCAAAATTTAGCTATTGACCTGTTCATGTCAGTTAATAAGCTTATGTGAACAACATATGGTGCAATTATTCAGCTAACGATACTTGTACTTGCTGCATCCTTTAATATAACAAAAACAGGAGAAAAAAACTTATTGGATCATTTTTTATTGAATAACGATAAGAGAATTTAGAGATAGCTAGCTCTTCTCTTTTGAAGGAATGGAAGCTAATTAGCGTAATGCACGCATCCGTAAGAGTATGGATGAGAATGAAGGTCTACTTGTACTTCATATTTAGCAAAAAACTGGGAGAATCAATAAGTTGCCTTTGTTTCTTTAAATTCTTTGTTAGGAGCAGTAATGACTATATCTTGTAATGCTGGTTCGGTGCCCATGTCAGTTTATGTGAATTGAAAGTATTAGATCAAGTAAACAAAGAAGATGATGGTTTGATTCTGATCAATTCAATAAAACAATGAAAATCTTCTTGCTAAAAATACTTATCCAAACATAATCTGTTCGACATTCCATAACTTATTATAACATTACACTGAATTTAGAAGTGACATACATTTATATGCTATTTTTAATAATATTCGACAAAAATATGAGCCTTCTCAAACATAACATTATCAAAATGCTTAAGAAGGATTTCATGAATAATAGATTTATGAATTTTTGGTCCGAACCGAAATTCATCTTGAAATACGAAGCAGACTTGCCCTGGCATTATTTCTATTCGCACTTCTGCTCCCAATCGCCGTCATTAAGCTTCATAAAAAGTCATAGTTTTATGAATAGTTCGACCACTGCATAGTGTTCAGCAGAACATTATAACTATAGTGTGATCAAAACTCATACTGCTTAGTAGTATACTTTTCTGCTGAACATTACATCATCTCGAAATGTAGTTCGATCTAAATGCATCCTACTGAGCACTAGACAGTATACTGCCTATTCATAGAATGCAACTTTTTATAGAGATTAATGACATTAACTAAGGTTAATGTAAAAATTCTGATCTCATTTGCAGAACAGATGTAAGAAAAATAATCCAAATACAATTGACTCTTATTACCATTGTGGACTACTGCAATGTCTATCGTGCTTAATTATAGTCGATTAACAATCAATTAGACTCATTCGAAATATTGAATGAACTTCAATTGGCTGATTTCATGTACTCCGCTTAGTTTTTAATCTGTTGGGATGTTAGTCTAAGATAAGAATGCCTTTACAATTAATTTTGATCGATTGTGTTTATTCAACAACTTAACGGTGTTTATGTACAAGGACAAAAGTTAATATGCAGTGTTCCTGTTTGATATCAATTTCGGCTAGAAAAAAAAAGCTACTGGGTGATTTCAAATTGACTAGAAAAGACTTTTCGAGTTTTTACTAGAAATTATGCTTCAGTAGAGATCTAGTACTCGAAGTTTATCGAAAAAATCAGATGTCAATCCTTCATTGCTAGTTAAAATGACTTAAAATCATTCGCAGTGCAAAGAATCCCTTTGACGACAATTAAAATTAGTTGCACTGTTCATTAATAAGCTGAACAGTTTTAATGCTTTTAAAGAAGTAGTTTGCCATCACACTTGAAAATTTAAAAAGTAATTGCATATCCATTAAATGATGTATAGAAGATAGTTTAAGTTCTTGAGTTTGATCCATAGTTTCTTAAATCAATGTTCGTTAAAGGATGCTTTAAAATCGGTAAATAAATCGATTGTATCTGTCTTTATATCAATAAATGCGTCCATCTAACTGATAACAAATGCGATTCTCCTAGACATGCTACCTCTAGAACGAAATCTATCTATTCTTCTCATAGATTGCCAACTTCTCAATTCTATGGATAAAAGTATTCAAGAAGTATTTTCACATGGAACTTTCAAAAAGATGAAATGAATGAGATAAAGCGCGTGTCATTCACATCTACGATTGAAATGTTCATTTTGGACAACAGTGTCATTTTCGCTGGAGTCTAATATCGAGGAAAACATATATCTTTAGTAGTGTATACTTTGTATAATAATATTTTTCTAGAAATTCTAGCACTATGAATTCAAAGAGCATAAAAAAGAAATTGTATAACACATTAAAGCTTATTAAAAATAGAATTTCTTAGTATTAAAAATAAGATTTCTGAAAACTTTCTAATGTCGAACTCAGGAAATTTTTCGAATTCTGTAGAATATGATTTTGCTGTTATATCAGTTGTGACTCTAACTCATAAGAAAAGGTTTTTCTATTCGGTTCTGTTGTCTTTTCATTTTCTTCGTCTTTGGTATATGAATGATGAAATGTTACTATGACAAACAATAGAAAGAATAGAGTAGCACGCGTTTTTACTTATTGCGGATCACTTTATTGTTCAACACTCCTTTTTTCGTTGCTATCCTTTTTGCATAATATTACAAATACAGAAAAACTTAGCTTTATGCTGGTTTTTTTTTCTGAAGAGCAATAGCTCATCATGACTTTTGGTAAATACCCGTTTTCTCATATTTGTTCTGTTAAAAAGTAATAGAACAGAAAAGTTTAAAAGGTTTGCGGAATATCATATAAGTTCATTTAGTAATCTATATATTTCACAAATACAACAGAATATCTTCTTTTGGTACATTAATTATATTCGATTACTTGAAAACGGATGACACTTATATTACATTAAACAGTAGAGAATTATCGACAGAATCAAATGTATCGCTTTTCGCGAAGCTAGTGCGATGCTTATTAATTGAACACGGCTTGTGGAAAAAGTTCATCGTGCGACTCAATTTCTTGGAGAATGATGAGGAAAATGATCTGAGAAATGTTTTGCCAACTATTCAAAAATTAGTTCTCAGCTTAAATTATCACAAGTGAGTAGAGACCTTTTTGTCAAAGTGAATGATCAGCAAAAAAGAGCACATCGGTTCAAAAACAATTGATAATTATCATCATAGAGAAAGAGTTAATTGATTCTCTATTATTCGAAAACTGTTAGAAACAGAAATTCATCTCTCTAATTCATTCTAGTTTTGTAATTGTTTAAAAGACTAGAGCGAAAAGGAGTGTCTTCATCTCGTACTATTTGAGAAATTTTATCTCCAAATCGTCGATATACCAAAACATCAGAACGATTGAGTTTGTGGGGAAAATTAATGAATTTATTGATGAAAATGAAAGGTAGGATGACATAACTAAAAACCAAGTAGAAACTGGAATTTTCATTCTTTTCATTGTTAAAAAAATAACATTGGATAATTAAAGACAAAGATAAATCTCCGACTGATCAAGACTTTCGTGACATAATTTCAATGGAAAAACGTACTTCCTTCTCAGCAAAACAAAAGAAGAACAGATGATTAATGTGAATGAAGTAATCTCTGTTCATGATAAAGCATCTTGCATGCAAGCTAATATGACCTAATCTTTACTTCAGAAGAGTGACGTCAATTTTTCAAGTAAAGATTTTTGGTCTACAAATTCATCCAATTTCATGGTGGACCATATTAAAACAATAATTATAAAGGAAGTTCAAAAGAATGTTATCAGAAACCAGACGTAATTGTTTATGTAAACAAATGCCGAGCTCTTTAAGACTTTTATATGCTCATTTCCATTGTGACTTCATGCAGTGGCGAAAAAACCCAATAGTTTTTCTACTGATTACTGGTTGTATTCCTCAAAAGATGAAAAAAATAGCCACCATTTTAGTCATCAATTGTATATAATATTTAGCTTAAGTTTTATCTCCTAGAAGGATGTCTCTCATGCCTACTGTCAATAAAATTCTAAAACTTTTCTGAGTTCGACATAATGAAGTCCTCATAACTCTTTTTTTTAATCTGATTAATCCTATTTTCAACCAACTTGCATCCGATATAAAATCTTTTTTGTATTTCTGCTATTTGAAATCAAAGTACAATTAATAGGGAAAATATTAACATTTACCCTATATTTCAAATTATAGTATAGTGATCAAATAGATATAGAATATTGAAATGAAATGCATGCAACACCTTCTTTGATTAATACCTACTTAGAACCAAACAAATAATATATAGAATAAAAACGAAAACGAAAAGAATTTCGCTCATAAATATCATTTAATAATCATAGATCAGACGTTTTTCTTTTCAAAATAGATACTCAACAGATTAAAGTTTAGAAAATGATGATACATAGATGAAATAAACTTTGACGATGAAGTAACATGCCGCGATATATAATAAAGCATTTTGCGCTCAATATTTTATTCTGTTGTGTGAGAGAGCATGTCAGCTAGGATCGATCGATGAGTTCAAATCACTTTTGTTTTTATTTCCTTCTTTGTTATGTAGGATCACAGGAGGATACCGTTAAAGTACCTTCAATTAGGAAGGGCTTTTGTTGACATGAAAAGACACAATTTTATGTTTGAGTTCCTCCTTATTTAATATGATTAGGCAGAAAAAAATATATGAAGAATTTCGCTGTTATCTCGGAACACGGTGAAATAAATAATGAAGTTGGTCTAATCCATAACTTTTTGTCATGGCTTTTCTTATTATAGATGCTAGGTACACAGTTTCTTTTCTAATAATAATAATAACTGAATACAATTCATTGTTATCGTGCAGACAAACTTCATGGAACAGATTAATAATTAAAAATATTTTCCAATATAATTTTCTTTTCAGCATATTTTTGTTCTTAATGACAAGAAAAACGTTAACAGAAGTTAGACAAAGTAACAAGTACATACAATCACACACACACACACACACACACAGATGTTTTTGGAAAAATCCCTTGCAGTACTGTAACGCACATCGATATTAAAACAAAAGAAAGTTTACTGTAAAATGATATTTGGAAAAAAATAAATCGACAAATAATGTTCGAATTGTTTAAAAGAAAGTTTTTATTAGGTTTTTGATTTTTTAATGATGACGCATATCACGTGGACGAGGTCTTGGTGGTGCACGAATAATATTATCAATACGTAATACCATTTCAGCGGCTTCTGCTGCACTAATAACGACTTGTCGTTTAAGATGAAATGATTCAAGAATACCAAGTTGAACCATATCAGCTATTTTGCCATTTTCCATATCTAAACAATTTTTTTTTTTTTTATCAAAAATAATCATCAAAGAATTCATACCAAGACCATATGTTGATTTGCCTGAAGTATGAGCAGCACGAAGATTAGCTATTAATTCTGAACTATCATAACCAGCATTGTCAGCAATAATTGTTGGTAACTATAAAAAGACGATTGATGAAAAGAAATAACTCAAATAAAAATCTATTCAAATACTTGACGAAGAGCACGAGCAAATGATTCAATAGCTACTGATTCTTTGCCTGGTGTTTTTTCAGCTAATTGAGAAACAGCAGTAGCCATTAACATTTCAGTGGCACCTAATTCAAAATTAATTTTCTATTGTTTTTAAATAAAATAAATTTTAAACAAACCTCCACCATAACAAATACGTGGTTCTTTAACAGTTTGTGATAAAACACAAAGAACATCATGAATTGATCGTTCAGCCTCATCAAGTATTTGTTGTGTAGCTCCACGTAATACAACTGTGCAAGCTTCACCTTGTGCTACACCTATATTAAGTAAACATTAACTGAATTATTCTTATTCAATTGTGAAAATCAAACCTGAAAATTTGATAAGTTTATCTTCTCCAATAATTATTTCTTCAATCAAATTACATTTGCCTAATCGTACTTTATTTGGTGTATCAAATGTTGAAACAATATCTCCACCTAAATAAATCAATTTATAAAAGAAAAAGATCGAACAAGAATTTTCATATTCGTTTACCAAGTACTTGTGCTAAACGCTCAACACCTTCAAAATCAGCATGTTCAATAGCCATAACACCTTTTTCAGCAAATAATTGATCTGGATAATCATAAATCAATTGTCTACAAAGAAAACATTGTCAAACTTAAAAACCATTCATTCATTTATTCATTATCTTACCGATTAATAAATACATTACAACCATGTTGAAGTATTTTATCAACTTTATCTTTCATTTTTTCTTTTTCAGCTAATTCTAATTCAGCTACTTTAGCTACAGAATCAACACGTACACGTGAACCAAATATTTTTATTTTATCTGTATCCATAGGTGTATTAGCAATAAGTATACGTGCATTTTCTATACGTTTTGGCATATTTATACCAATACGTTTTTCCAATAGAAAACCTTAAAATATAAATTTTTATTTCTTATTATTTTTAATGTAATAATATACCTTCTTCAAGATACGAATCACTCATATTATTTCCCAATCGTTTTATTATTTGAATACCTTGTAAATCAGTTTTACCCTACGAATAAGATTTTAATTTTCACTTAAATTGAATAAAGAAAAATTTACATGTAATTTAAGTACAGCTTCAACACATAATTTTGCAAAATAATCTTTTTGTCCTTGAAGAATTTTAGAACTAAGTGTAGTACGAGCAATATTCATAAGATCACTTTTAAATTGTTCCAAATTAGAACTAAATTAAAACAAAATAAACCAATGAATAAATAAATCTTAGAAATTTTTCAAACCTGTTATTTTTTGCAATGCATTCTAAGCTTCTTATTGCTTCATTTGTTGCTTTACGCCATCCAGAAATAATTATTTGAGGATGAATTCTTTGTGCAAGTAAATTTTCTGTTTCCTATTATTATAAAATTTAAAATAAAAAAAAATCTGTTAGTACAATCCCTGCAGGATTAAAATGTAAAACATAATGTAGCTATTGTTACTGATCACGAAGATATTGTTTTATTCTGTCTACTGTAGCACACATGTCTTCAGTGTCATTTTACTTAATCTTCCAAAAGTACAGCAACAAAGTAGTTAGTATACCGAAACGAGCCTTTATTGATATACTGTCTGTCAGTGGCGGTGGAGCCATTAGGCTTGGAGAGGCTCAAGCTTCTCCTAAAAATAGGTAGGGGAGGCTTGCGGAGGCTCATATTTTGAAAAAAAATCACAGATCTTAGCATGGATTTATACTTACTATGCGAAAATTCTTTTAACAATAGTATGTTCCGCCTCACCTTACACAGCACGATAAGCGGCACACCACTTGCATTTAAGAAAGCTCAAGTCTTAGTGAAAAACCAAGAAGGACATATGAGAAAGACTCGATATTTCAGAAAACTTTAGGAACGTCATTCCGATTTTGAGGGTAAATGTCATAAAATGTTACCAGCATAGCTTATATTGCATGTATCTTCGCATGAACAAATGCTAGAATCTTGACTTTTTTCAAAGAATACGTTGTCGACAGTGTCTAAAATAACTATTAAAAAGTCTCGTTAGTTTAATGTATGAAATAATATCTGTTTTTTTTTGCATCTGTTTTCCTCAAAAAAAATGATAAAAGTATGAATTTCTTATATAGATATGTGATTAAACTCTTCACAATATTCATAGAAAAAGGTTTTTCCTGCTTGATGATAATAAATTTGGAGAAGGGAAAAAGAAAAACTGTATGACACATTCTAATTTTTCACGATAACAGTAAACTGAGCACTACTAAAAAGGTCGAACTTTTATCAAAACCAAGTTTAATGTATTAAAANTCAAAAAAAATGATAAAAGTATGAATTTCTTATATAGATGTGTGATTAAACTCTTCACAATATTCATAGAAAAAGGTTTTTCCTGCTTGATGATAATAAATTTGGAGAAGGGAAAAAGAAAAACTGTATGACACATTCTAATTTTTCACGATAACAGTAAACTGAGCACTACTAAAAAGGTCGAACTTTTATCAAAACCAAGTTTAATGTATTAAAATACTATTAAATGCAATGGTAATACCAGAATGATACGTTTTGTGTTTGAAGATCGCCTTAAAGACGTAAGTGAACAGTCAGACAATTACTCGTTTAAATACTGGAGGAAATTTAATTTAGAAGAGTGAAAAATATAGTATCTTGCACGTCTTTGTTTTCAGTTCTCTCAAAACCAATTAAGACAACTCAAGAGAACAATTTGCTTCTTTAAAAACAGATTCAAGTTTTCAAGATTTTTGTGTGAAAAAATATGTATGACAAATATTTTTATTACTTTCAACATGAGACGACATAGCAATGTTTTATATATCCTATCTTTCACCGTTCTAAGAACCCTAGAGAAAGTACTGAGTTCAGGGTACCCATGTACTGAGAAAGCCTTAGCAGGGTACCCGATTTGGGTACTTCAAAATTTTTTAGTAATCATACTGATTTAGAAACTGCATTGGATACCCATAGCAGTATCTTCACTGAACACGTACTTATATGGGTACCCGCATCTGTAATTTTACTGAGGAAAGCTCTACAGGGTATCCTAGATTTCTCGCGTTCTGTGTAGCGACTGTTTATTCACCGTTTTCTTTTGCATTCACGGTTCCGTATTAACAACTTGGCAAAACATAAAAAAACTAATCTATTCTCATACTAATTTTTTCTATATTATTTCTTGACTATTTGTTGGTCGAGAACATGCCGATCTTGATCGTAAATTAAGAGCGGACTATCCTGAAATGGTCTGATGGAGATTCCACCAACTCAAATCCGGTGAGATCCCGAAAGTTGACCTGCTTGAGTTTTCAGAATTGGAAAAATTAAATTCAATCGAATCGAAACAATGTAATGAATTGCTTTAAGAGAGACGAAAATGAAAAAGGTCAAAGGTTAGGTTCGATCATCAACATACTACAATTTTGGCAACAGGGTACCTAAACATACTGTGCAATAGTACCCAGTTGAGTATCGGATCAGTACCTTCAAGTACCCATTTACTAGACATTTTCCAGAAGGGTACCCACCCAAGTACCTAAAAGTACTTTAAGGTACCTTAGTACCAGAAGGTTCCTGTGACATACTAGTAGCAGGGTACTTTTTCAGGTACCCTTAGCTCAGTACATTCATTGGGGAACTCATCAAGCCGGGGGGACAAGACGTTGTGATGCATTGTTGTAGAGAATTCAACAACAGCGTCTATACTTCATTTTTTCGAAATTTTTCTGAAAGTTCCTGTACTTAGGTACTTCCTTCATCGTCAACTGAACGAAATTGAGACAAACACGGGCATATGACACCGAAGATAAAAGTAGAGAAGACTTCAGATGAAGAACAGCTGAAAGATGAACGCTTATTCTTGCAAATCATGGATTTTTTTTAGTAAAGTTATACTATGTTCTATGCTATGAAATAGAGAAATTTTTTAACTTAAATGAATCCTGGAAATTCCAAAAAAAAAAAATAAACCATGAAGGATTCTCAACTTCCATAGGACATCTTTCGACAACGCTCCTAGATTATATCAGTCGTCTATAGAAGGGTATATATGTCAAATAAATGCTGTTCAAAAAACACATTGAGACATCCGATATCCCTTGATAAAAGTTAAAGTGGAAAAGCTAGAAAATATCCCTTCCCGAACATCACCTTCCTATCGTTCCTCAGAAGTTTTGAGCCTCCCCTAGATTAGAATCGCTCCACCGCCTCTGCTGTCTGTGATCGTATATCAACAACGTCTGCCACGGTCTATAGAGAGCACCGTGTGCATCTAGGTAGACAGTTAGCTGAAAATGAAAATCGTAGTTTTTTTAAATTTAAATATAAAGAAAAGTACTACGAAAAACTGTTCGACAGACAAATCAAGAACGTTTTCTGAGTGTCAAGCTAAACTTTATACAATAGTAAAAAATATTTTTTAGTTTGCATGCTTAACTTCTGAGAAAAAGAATAGTATTTTTTTCTACACTGTCGTCCGAAGGGCTAGTTCCGTAAAATGAGAAATCCACTCATATTCAACCTCCAAACTTTTCCAGAATGTTCTTCAATCTACTATCTCTAATTTCTATTAGCGCAACCAGAAAACCTATGTTTTGGGATATTTTTCAGTTTCATGGCATTGTAAAAATATTCAATTGACAAAAACAGTATATTCGGAATCAGCGCATTAAACTGTGTTGAATGGCATATGATATAAAAAACAATTGCGAAGGAAAAAATTGTTTCGAAAAAATGACAGGAACGATCTCGCTCAAGGTCAGTTTTAGTCAAAAAACTTACTTTCCAAAAACGTTTTCTTTCTTAAAAATCTTTTTCTGGCTTAAATCCAATCGTTTTTGAGCAAAGAAATCCGTTTTCGGGCAAAAAAGTTACATGTACATCAACCATGCAAATAATGCATACTGTGTGAAATCCTATATATACTTCAATACTCTTTTTAGATCATGTCTCACAATAGTATAAAGCAGAAAGAAAAAAAGAAAATACATACTCGAAGAAGTTCACTAGCTAAAACAACAACTGATGTTGTACCATCACCAACTTCATCATCTTGAACTTTTGAAATATCTATAGAAATATTATTAATAAATAATTTTGATAAATATTACAACATACCAACAAGAACTTTTGCTACTGGATTATCAACACCAATTTTTGATAGAATTGTTGCTCCATCATTCGTTACTAATAATTTACCAGCATCAGGTCCACCACTCATATTACATTGAAGAATTTTATCCTAAAGAAAATATTAATTTTCTTTTTCTTTTAATTAAAATACATTCATTGTATTTACCATTCCTTTAGGACCAAGAGTACTTTTGACTAGATCACCAATAGCCAAAGCTCCAGCAAATGCTGACTAAACATCAATAGTTAATTAAATGCTATTTTGAAAATTGATTTATGACTTACTAATCGAGCAACTTCAGCTTTTTCTTCTCCGCCACCTTGTTTATAAAGAGGAATTGGATTAAGTGCTGTCTAAGAAAATCAAAAAACTAAAATTGATTAAGAAATAAATTTCATTTTTATTTCTTACCATTAAATCACCACGCATCTTTGCCGATTTGAAATATAGTCAAAGAATAAATGAAACAACCATTTTCTATAAAATCCAAATGTTACCCAATGGATCCATAAAATGACATCTATTTGAAATAAAAACCAAGAAAATGTCGGTTACTTAGTAACCATTAACCATAGTTTACCTTTCATGGACTAATATATATTTACATCAGCTGTTGATTTATATTTTCGATGTAACCGCACGAAGTCGTTTTTAATGGCTGAAGCAACACTTAATTATCAAACAATTCGAACTTCCCATGCGGCTCGTGAAGCTGTAAGATTTTCATTACTTTTTTTGTCAAAGAAAAACAAAAGATCTTATTGGATGTTCTTTTTTTCATTCAGGATGATTTGAGAGTCGAAAATCGAAAAAAAAATTTAATTATCCTTGTACTTCAATGGCTTGCTGAAGAAGGGTACATTTGTTTATTATTCTATTGAATCATTCAATCAAATTTTTTATTAATTTCAGGTATGTTGAATCTGCTCGACAACTGGAACATGAAACAAATCTCGATGTTAGTAAATATGATGTTTGTGATAATATTGATCTTGACACAATTCTTCAAGAATATGAGTTAGTTTTTCAATAAAACAAAACAAAGAAAAGATATATTTTCTTATTTAATTTGTCTTTTCTTGTTTTTAATTAGGTCGTATTTTTTTATTAAATTTAATAAATATCCAAAATTGACAAAAAAAAATGGACCTACAGGTAAGTGAATTCAATTTGTTTCATAGACCAACCAAAATGATTAAATTGTATTTGCGAATAACAAATTTTAAATGGCATTATCATTGAATCGCTTCGAGGCATTTGTGAGCAACTATTACAAAACGAAAAACAGAATTCTTTTTCTTGAAAAGTGAAACCACGTTAACATCAGAGGAGTGTAAGATCATCATATTGTTTTATAGTCTCATCTATTTAATATAGAGTCATTGATCCATTCAATTATTTCATATCAGACAGTATAAATATTGTAATAGATCTTAGAGGAAAAGTGAAAAATAACCATTGATGATAAAAGAAAAAGAACTGCAAGTTACAATCATCTGAAAAAGCAGATACTTCACAATGCATAAATGTAGTGTAATGCTATGGTCATTTTACTAGTCTTCAGTTAATACTTTCATCTTAAATTTTTCTGGGAAAAATTAAAAAAAAAAGAATTTCTTCAATGGAAGATCTAAATGATATTTACTTAAATCTTGTCAAACGATGCTCCATAAGTAGATAAGGGCAAGATGGTCTTGATCGGAACCGGAACGGACCAATATTTTTCGATGGGAAGTGATCCTTTTTATAACTGTGTAAGACTTGTGTCAAATACCATATTCTCACGACTCATATATTCTAAAAGTTTATGCAACAGTTATTGAGTAACGATCACTTCAATATTTCTTGTTAAAATTTTGATCATAAAATCTAATCCTTTTTTTTCGTAAATGATAGAGTTGTCGAACACATAAATGTACAAAATAGACGAAGTATTAGTGAATTTAAAAAAGTAATGCATCTCCAAGAGGGAATTTATCAGCGATCAGGTGATTCGTACAAGAGGTCTCGCATGCATTGACACTGCTAGAAAATGATATCGCATTTTCACTAGTACATGTATTAGTAATTGCGAAACTAAAATCAAAATTTTTTTTTTCTGACTGAAAATAAAAATAATTGGTCCACGCTCATTACTATTCAGAAGTTTTGTATTGTTCATATGTCATCTATTTGGCATTGAAAGAAATACTAGAGTTTTTTAAATAAAACTACAAAAAATGTCAGAAAAATAAACCCAATCAAGTGCTAACTTATCAGACGGCAAATTCCAGACATTCAACTTCATAAAATGAAACTATCAATGTGAAAAAATTTAGTAATATGAATAATTTTATAAAATCATAATAAAAATTAGCAGATATGACGAATATCGTTTGACTAAAACATTGCACTATATTTCTGCATATTAGAGTCTGTTTTTTTTCAGATGATAGCTCTAATCTTTCTCTACAGAATCATATATTTCGATCAATTAAGTATATAGAAGTTAGCCATAGATAACATCAATTTACTAGAAGAAGTTGAAACTATAGAACTACTCTTTAGTTTATTGTTGTATTACAAAACAACAAAATAAATACGTTGTAAGGTGTCTGAATATTTGATTTTTATAAAACTTGTTTTCGCGGAATCAAAACATTCAGAAGATTATCCAGCTTGTACTATATTCACTTCTGATTAATATATATACAAAAGATGTGCTTCTTCTTGTTTTATTTAGCTCCATTTACGAGTAAAATCTTTAGTAAATTAGCCAGGTAATTTATGAAAATATTTGTTTTGCAATGAAAAATTTCGTTTTAATTAGTGCTCAACCAAGTGCTCGTCGTAGTAATGTTCCATCATTACCACGCGTTACTAATAATGGAACTGATGGAACAACAACAGCAACATCAACTGGTCAAGGTGCTCGTCCACCATCTGCTGGTGATGCACTTCGAAAGATATCTTTTACTCGTAAACTTAATCGATCCAATTCAGAGAAAATTAATGCACACTTATCACCATCCTCAAGTTTACAACAAGCTTCTTCAGTGAGTGGATTTGTTTAAGAAAAGAAATTGATTGATTTTGATGGATAACTTTTTCTTTTCACTTTTAGCAACAATTAGGAAATACTAATAATAATCATTCAAATAATTCATTAGAAGAAATGAGTCTTTCTTTTATGAAAGTATCATCTGTAAAGACAACAACATCATCGAATGAACAACAGCAACAACAACAAAATGGAAATAAGAAAAAAGTAAAATATAAATTTTCCATATAATTTGCCTAACCTTTGTTGACAACATTAAATGACATCAAAGAAAAATACTGTTGAATGCGCCCATATCTATTTTCTACTCCGGAAATCTAACTGAAAATGAGTACTTCCTCACTTCTATTATAGAAGTTGATAATTATTGCTTAGTTGTGAACAAAAAAATCTTTTCGCTCATAATAACGGTGAAAATTAAAAATTCTGAAGGACATTTCTTATGACTAAGTTATTTTATAAAAATGGATTGCATCTAATTGAATTCTTTATCATGTAAAACAAGTTCTTTAGATCCTTCTGTGAACAATGATTATAATACTTGTAATAATACACCTTTACAAACGTCTTTTCTCTTTTTTATAATTCACAGAAATATATTGTTTTTCAAAATTAAAAAAGTCAAAATCATTAATTGTTCTTATCTCATGTTTTATATCATTCGTGACATATATAAAATTCCAATTGATCTTTAAAATAATAAATAAATCTATTTATGTGCTTAGGAAAACAAAGAATAGTCAATACAATTAACAAAGTGTTTTAAAGCACCACTTTATAATTATGATCTATTAAAAAATAATGACCTTAACTATTAGAAAAGATCGAAACATTAATTTATATGCAATCTAAAATGAATAACAACTAATACTGTTAATCTTCGAAATACACTATTTTGATAAAACATTCAAAAAAAAATAGCAGATTTCGTTTTTCAACGATTATTAGATTCCATAAAAGGTTACTCAAGATATTAATGCCGTTTCGCTAGAATTTCTATTAACAATTCAAACTAAAATTATTTCATAGTTTAACACAATACAACTCTTTTCTCTTTTCTCTTCAATTCATCTTAATCACAATTTTTCTCAATAGCTATTCTCTTCATTTTTAGATTCCTAATACCATAATCGATTGTCGTGCGATTATCAATGATGCGCTACGTGTGCCTGTCGAAGAAAATGTGGATCCAGCTGTAAATCAAATAACTTTTTTGATCATTCTTTTATTTAAATGTTTTACAATTTAGGATCGTTTATTAAAACCTCTAGGCGGATTTATTGGTTATAATTCTGAATGGCGTGAATTAGCTGAAGTTGTTAGTCGGGTAAATACAAAAAAAAGCCACTTTCATTTTACTTCTGTTTTTTTATTTTTTTTTTTAAAAGCTTTCTTTTCCATCTTTTTGTCTTATATTTCATCACATTTCTCTCGTACTCTTTGTCAAATTAGACATATTTCTCATCACTCTTAGTCTCCTCTAGTATGATTACAAGCACGAAACAAAAAAAATAATATAACAAACAAAAAAAAAGAGAAAAAACGGTAAAGTTGTACACACAGACACAAAACACCTGACCAGATGGAAAAAGAAAGTGAAACACCACTGCGTATAAAAAAAAGAAACCAAACGAGATAGAGATTGCGCAAAGAATGAAATCTTTTTTTTGGTTAGGTTCAAGGAGAAAAAATATATAAAGAAAAAAATTTTCATATGGAAGAGAGAACAAAACAGGTTTTCTTTTAATGGATAAAAAAATTCTTTCGTTTTTTTTTTAGGTTTTTTTTATAAGTTTTAAGTTTCTCATCATCATTCTTCATATCAAGTTCGACATATAGAGAGATAGAGTGTGAGAGACTCCTTGAGACAGCAAGAAGAAAAAAAGAAAAATAACAACAAAGAAAAGAACATCAACAACAAAAAAAAGAAAAAGAAAAATTTTTGTTTTGGTTTTAATGTTTTTTTTTTTTGGTTTTGTACAAAGAGATTTTGTTTTTTACGCATTTTACATTTCCGCTTTTATTCGTTCCGATGAAGAAAGTGTTGAAGGAAGAATATTCACATTAGGTGTAACAAAATCACCTTCATTAGCACTACCCGATGGGGAATGTGATGATGGTGGTACAACTGCTGCTGTTGGATGTAGTAATTGGGAATGATGATGATGTTGCTGTGGTTGTTGTTGTTGTAATGATGTATCTGTTGTTGATGATGATAATGTAACTGTTGCTGGTCTTAAAACTGGTAACATTTTGAAAAGGGCTTCATAAGGTGAACGTTTTAATTCATTATTTATATTAGAATTTAACGTTAGTTGAACAAATTTTAACCCATATGACCAACGTGGATTATTATTAACAAACATCCATGCTGCTATCATTGAACGTATTTGTTCATTACGTAGTTTAGCTGTTTCACGCCATTGAGATGAGTCATCTTGATAAAGACGAATACCTGTAAATTGTAAAAAGAAATGGAAAATAGATAAAAATATGAATTCAATCAAATATTCGAGATTGTATTTTTTTTTACCGGGCCAAACAGCTTCAAGTGTTTGTTGTATAGTAGAATTTTCAACGTGAAGATCAGCACTGGATTGTAAAACAAGCGGTGGACCAAATATGCAAAATATATCCATTAATGTTGTACCTAATTCAACAGATGATTTACTTTTTAATGGACGTAATTGAGTAAATTTTGTTAAATAATCTTGATAGACAAGAACAAAACCATGATCACCATCATGGGCATTTTGTAAATCAATTAAATCATATTCACATAAACGATTCATTACATGTGTATTTGCTAAAATACAATAAATTGACAAGTTATAATCAAGGTTATTATTCGTCTATACTAATGTCAACTAGGCATAGGAAATGAGATTTTTTTTCTTTCGGAAGTTCTTTTAGATTTTCAACAGGAACAAAACATTTTTTTTATAGAGACTAGAAATGAAAAAAGTTTTTTTTTGAAATATATAAAATCGATACTTAGATAATTCAAATTGAAAAAGACAATATTTCTTAGATTATATTTTCAACAAATGAGAACTATATTTTGTTACGAAAACATCTTTTCTCTCTTAACATACTTCCATCAAATATATTTTCAATTGGCTGTTGTTGATGAAGACTAGCATTAGTATGGTTATGTAAAACAATAGGTGGTGATGATGTTGCTATTTGTTGTTGTTCATGTTTAATTATATTTGTTTGTTGTAATGTTGGAATATCATGTATTATATTTGTTAAACTAGTATCCATTAAATTATTTGTATCATTATGTAAATTATTTGTACCATTTTCATTTGTACTGTCTGTATTAATACGTTTACGTCTTTTACAGCAATAATCACACATTTTTAAATATGTTTGTATAACTTCACGTGGAATATTTGCATATTGTTTTGATAATATTGGCCATAAACGATCACGTCCACCATGATTCATTTTTTTATGTGTATAATCAATAATATCATACATTTCTTCAATTGATACAAAAAAACGAATTTCTTTATCATCATTATCTGTACGTGCAGCAACAAGTCGTTGTTTTCCTTGTACATCAACAATATCGAAGCGTTTTATACGACGATAATCTTTTGCAGTACGATCACCTGGTTCTTTTTCTTTCGCTTGTATTGATTCACTTAAAATTTGTTCAAGACGATCTTGTGAATAGACACTACGACGTGTTGCGATTGTTTTAACAAATACATCACGTTTGCTTGTCATTATTTAAAAACTAAAACAAAAAAAAAAACAAAAAATATTAATTAAAAGATTTTCTTTTTTCTTTTCTACTTTTTTTCCTTTCTTTCTTATTTTGTTTAACTTTTCTTTTTTAGTTAATTCTCCTTATTCTAATCTGACAAATGCTAAGAAATTGATCGATATACATATGTCTTGACAGGAATGATGAAAAAAATCTCGTCATCCTATTCCATGCTTGTTGCTTACTTCTCTTCTTTCTGTTTTTTTCTTCGTTTTTTTTTTCTTTTTTCTCTTTTTTTCTAATGCTTAATTCTGGTCGCGTCTGCTGTTGCTTTCGTTGAAAGTAAAAGAAGATAACTAGTGGGCAAACTTGCCGCGTCGAGTTGGATGTAATGTGAGCTTTTTCGACGGACGGGAGAAGAAAAGGAATAGAAAAGAGAATGAATGAATATGAATCTTATTTGGACGAAGTCTATTTCTTTTTCTCTCTTTTTCTCTCTCTCGGTTATTTTTTCTTCTTCTACTTCTTTGCCCTCTCTTACATCCCTCCGGACGAACGCGTATTTGTCAGTTCTCTTTTTCTTCTGTATTTTTCTTCTTCTCTCACCTGCTGCGTTCGAGGATGAGAGAATGAAAATGGAGATGCGTTTCTTTCTATTATTTTTTTTGCCATTAGTTATTTGCACCTTAAGGGAAAAATTTTTCTGCTTCTTTTTTTTTTTTTTTTCATGTCATTTATATGCGTGCATCGAAGGATGACGCTAGATTTGATCTATTTTTATCGTTATATTGTTTAGTATGCATGAGAAAAGAAAATTATATAGATGACAAGTCAAAAAACACAAAAGAGAATATAGAATAATTATTGAATTAAATAAGAATGTTCCCTCTTGAGCTTTGCAAGCAAGTTTTTTTTTCTTCTTTTTCTTTCTTTCTGTTTCATTCGTATCTCAAGAGAATCTATATAAAGAAACAAAAAAAAAAAGGAGATGAGAAGAACAACACAAATGCTAAGGTCAGAAATGAACTATGCGGAAATAAATGTCAGAGAATCAAGACAATGAACTGCGTAGAACATTTTGAATGTAATAGACGAATCAAATTATATTTGTTTCTTTTTAACATGAAATGCGCAATGTTTGAACTATTTTTAAGTGTTTTGGATCAATTGATTGACTCGTTTTCATCGTTTATTTTTCTTTTGTTCATATCTATTATTAGAATTTTTCTTTCCATGAACATTTTCATATCCGATTTAATATTTCAAAAGAAAATTTGACATGGCAAAAAGAAAAATTAGTGATAACAAGAAAGTTGACAAGAAACAGCTTATCAAAAGCATATGTATTATATAAAAAAAGGCCTTGAACTGTCAAAAAAGATTTCCGGAAAAACGATTCTATTGGACGTAATAAATAGACTCCTGTCATCGACTTAATTGTGCAAGATATGAACGCAAGTTTTTCTGCAAATTATAATTCTCAGGAGATTTCTTTTTATTTCTCCAAAGATAAAAATAATCACGAACAATAAAAAAAAATATTTTAGGACATCTATCTTCATGATCCAAGTGTACGTTGGGATTCGATTATAGGACTTGATGCTGCCAAACGTACAATTAAAGAAGCAGTTGTTTATCCTATACGAGTATGAGTAGCAAAAAAAACGATAAAGAAAAAAAAAAACCAAAGTTATTCGTTTTGTTTTGTTGTTGTTTTAAATAGTATCCTCAATTATTTACTGGAATCTTGTCACCATGGAAAGCCTTACTTTTATATGGTCCACCGGGTACTGGAAAAACGTTATTAGCTAAAGCTGTAGCAACTGAATGTAAAACAACATTTTTTAATATATCAGCATCAACAATTGTTAGTAAATGGCGTGGTGATTCTGAAAAATTAGTACGTGTTCTATTTGAATTAGCACGATTTCATGCACCATCAACAATATTTTTGGATGAGCTTGATGCAATAATGAGTCAACGTGGAGGTGGTAATGCTGGATCGTAAGTGAAAAGAAAACAATAAATAAGACAAGAAACGAAGCATTTTGTTCTGCTTGAATGATTATATTAAATAATTAAATCATTCGAATAAATTAATTTTGTGTTATTCTTTACTTCAGTGAACATGAAGGTAGTCGAAGAATGAAAACTGAATTACTTGTTCAACTTGATGGATTAGCTAAATCTGATGATCTTGTTTTTCTTCTTGCTGCATCAAATTTACCTTGGTATAAATAATATATTTTTTTTGTTTATAAATTAATTCACATAAATGATTTGCTTTTCTAGGGAACTTGATCATGCTATGTTAAGGCGTTTAGAAAAACGTGTTTTAGTTGATTTACCAACAAAAGAAGCTCGTCAAGCTATGTTTCAACAATTTTTACCGCCAACCGTTATTCGAGAGAGTAATGGTCTAGTATTATTTGCTGATCTTGATTATACTCGATTGGGCAATGTTAGTTTTCTTTCTTTCTTTTTTTCTTTCATTCGTTCTTTTTGCTAGTTGAAATGCTTTTTTTTTGCATATTCTAGTGCACAGAGGGTTATTCGGGTGCAGATATTAAATTAGTATGTAAGGAAGCAGCAATGAATCCGGTGCGAAAAATATTTGATATATTAGAAAACCTTCATGATGGTAAAAAAAATTAAAATACTTAAATTATAAGAAAGAAAAAAAAATTACTTATAAAATTTATTAAAATTTTTAGATTTAGAATTAGGACAATGTATTCAACTTGATTCTATAACAACAGCTGATGTTGAAAAAGTTCTATCAACTACAAAACCATCAGCACGCGCCTTTAAAGATAAATATACTCAATGGCAAAAAGAATTTGAATCTGTTTAAAATTTTTCTCAAGTGTTTTTTGTTTTGTTGTGTTTCTTTTTCATTATCGTTGATAATGTGGTTGCACGCATTTTACAGAATATATTTTTGTTTTTTATTATTGAAAAAAAAAAATATCACAGATAAAAATCTAAACAGAAAAAAATTAAAAAAAAAGACAGAAAAATAAATCATATTAACCTGACATAATACGAATAGAACGTGAAAAAATATATATTTAGATAGAGAGAGGAACAGAGATAGAGAGAGACTGTTCTATGAATAACCTGTTGTAACGCGATTACGTCGTTGACAACAACATGCATATTGGAGAAATTGGAGTAATCGTGAAGATGATTTTGTTGAACGAAACCATTTGTCATGATTTGGAATGTTAGAAACTAAAAAAAGCTCATTTAGCTTATCTCATAAAAAAAAGTGTCTCTTTACTGATAAAACAATACTTGAAAAGAATTCATTAGCTAGGTCTTTTTGACCTTATTCATAAAAGGTTAATAATGAACTCTTTAGCCTATCTATAATAGTGACTCAAATGAACAAATGTTAGAACGTAATGCGTCGTATGATTCATCGAAAATTCGAATTTATTTACATTGTGAAAAATGTTTAAGAGAAAAGGCTTGTTTTTCTTTTTTTGTCAGATCATTTTTCAATCAAGATAATGTTCAATGAGTTATTATATAGCATAGAATGCTTTATGGTTTTTCAACTCTTTTATCCGCAGATGTAAACAAACGATGACATCCCTCTATCAAGCTTTTTTAAATTGTGTTTTTATACAATGATACAGTTAACATCAACTTGTGTATCATTTGAAATTTAGAAAATTTTTGAGTAAAAGAAAAACAAACTGGTGTATCTTCATAAATAATCTAACTAGGATTAGAACTAATGTTATCTATTGATGAAATCAATTGTGACAAAAATAGAAAATGTAAAACCATATTTTACATTGACATAATCGATGGCTATTATTAAAAACAAACGATGTATAAAAGAGATAAGTTATCATGCTCTATACCAATGAGTGTTAACAATTCTTTTTAATGAATTTAATGGTAAAGAATTGTTAAAGAAAGGTTGATATGTTAGGCGGAATCGTGTGTTTTTGAAAAGGTTTAATATATGTATCTTAAATTGACAATAAGAAAGATTTGAGTTAATACTTTTACCAAAATATAATTGAAATTTCTATAGAATCATATTATTTTTGTGGCGAATGATAAATCGTGGTGGAAATGATGTTTAAATAAACTTTGAGTTCGTCTCGAACGGAAAGAAAATTTATGCATGAATGATTGATCTAGTTTCACTATGATAATCCTGAAAATTGCTAGTCATCTAGTCTATATCATAATTTACTATGGTCTTTAATTTTTATTGTTTTCTTAAGTATAATCTCGAAGCAAAAACAATCCAATATAATGAAAATTGTTTTTCAAAGCTCATTAGAATTTCTAAAAAAAAAGTTTGTTTGTCATACGTGATGTATTTGATCCATTTTTTTCTTTGTTGTTTAATAAATCAATAATCATTGAAATGTCTTGAATAGATGATGATTTATTTAGTAATTGAATAATTTCTTCATCAGATATATTCGTGGAAAGAAATGTTTGTAAGTATTCATAATCTTTCTGTAGAAAATCTGTCACGTCATTCCTTAAAAGAAATTTAAAAAAAAACGTAATTTTGCGAATAATAAAGAAAAAAATTCTTTACGAAAAATGATATTTTCTTTCACGTAATATTGATGTCCATCCTTCGACAAATGATGAAAATATCTGTTCATAAATATCAATTTTTTTCTCAATATTTAAACATTCACATTGACTTAAAATTGGTTTAAGAATTTTATCACATGCAATTATCATATATGATCGGTGTTGATTAGCTACAAGCAAAAAAAAACTTGTTTTTCTTTAATTTAAATTCAAGACTTATTATTCATAATATTTTTACTTGTTCGCAATTCATTTGTTGTTGGTGGTAATATTATATCAAAGTGATTTGTTGTATTCATTTTAACACGTCGATATAATTTCGACATTGTTCCAATAACAATTGTCTATGAAAAAGAAATTGAGTGCAGCTTTATTTTTGTTACTTAAACATACTTCACATGATGAATGTAATTTATTAACTAAATTTATTGTTTGTTCACAGTTTTCTAATTGTCTAAGAGTATCTACCAAACCATTAATAGTTAATGATAATTGCTAAATAAAGACAAAATAATTTAAAATTTAAACAACAAAATAAAAATTAAATACAAACTGTTTGATCACTTTTACATATAACTAATGTTCGTTCAAGTGAATTTCCATTAATAAATGTATCTGCATGTTGATTAACCCATACAATTAATAATTGAAATGTTCCTTCGATTTGTTTCGTTAAATGATTTATATTCGAAGAAATTGTATTTTTAAGAAAAGACTAAATAAAATAGAATTAAAATTTGCAAATTAATTAAACTTTTAAATATTCTTCGTACAGTTAAATATGATGATTGTTCAGAAAGAATTTTCATGTATTGTAAAATTGATGTAATTCGTATAAGACGAAGAAACATTTGATTAAGATTATGACCAACAGCACTTAAATGAATATTATGAGACAAACAAATTGTTCCCCAACGATTTGCAATGATTGTATTTATTAGAGTTCTACTAAAGACTAAAAAGAAAACAAAAACAAAAGAAATTTCAACTTTGTATAACAAAATTATTCATTAGAATTTGGATGAAATAAGTCAATATCTGTTTATTTATTATGAGATAACAGCGGAAATGATTAGAATTCACTAGTCACATTCCAGAAATGTCATAGAGTAATTTTTTTTGTGTTTTCATTTATTATCTAAAGAGTTGATGAATATACATTGAATAAAAGAAAGAACTGCGTTACGGGTAGGGATGGGTCAATGACTCAAGAGGCCGATCGAAAGATTTTGACTAAAGTTGATTGGATTCAGATGAAGGATCAAAGACATTTTTATGAATTGGTGAGCAAAAAGAAACCATAAAATGCTGGAAAAAAATCTTTCAAGATTCTAGAATCAACCCTCCTCTCTTCGCTTAAGACATCTCTAGTTATGGATTCTTTTATTAATGTTATGAAGACTTTTCCTTACTAGAAATCACGCACACACACATTATAATCTAATGATTGATATCGATCTCTAAATTAATGTGTGACTTACATAAATCCCAATCTCGATTAAAAGCTTGAATTGTTAACAAACACAAACACCATTGTACAATTAAAATAAATTCATATTTTAAATTCATATCCGAACATTTAAAATGCATAATTAATGTCCAAAATGTTTCACTTGACCACGGATTTATTGTATGCATAGTTAAGGTTTTATTCGACCATATTGAAATAATATTAATAAGAAATTCTCGTTCAATATTTATCCAATCATATGTATTATCTAAATTTTCTTTTTTTTTTATTTTTTTAAAATATATATTTCTTTTAATACAATAAAATTCTTACTTAAATCATTTTCAATTTGTTCAAAATCATTAAAATCAAATTGAAATGATGATGTTAATTGAGACTGTGTTAAAATTGTTGTATGAATATTTATTTTATCTAATTGTAATAATGATCCTGAATGACAATAATTATCATTATGATTTTTTGGTCTATTAGAATTATCAATATTTATTGCTATAGGTGAAGTACTAAAAAGAGAACTAGACGATATAATACAATCATTATTATCGTCCTTATGATTATTTAATAATGAATTATATGATGATAACAATAATTGTGAAGTTTGATCAATAAGGGATGATGCAATTTGATTTGATAATGATGATGAAATATGATTTAAATAATTTGATGGAAGATAACATAAAAGTTCTTTTTCAAGATTATATATATCTGAATTAATCGTTGGTAAATTATGAAGATAATTAAGTATTTTAAGAACATTTTGATAGATTAAATCAAAATGTTCATCAAGATAAAAATAATCATCAATAGCATATTCAATAAATAAATTTTGATAAGTATTTATACAATTAACAAGATCAGAACAATTCGAAACAATTGATATTATTTGACCATATTCAATAGACATATCTGAGGTATATGACGATAGAAAATTAATATATTCATTTAAATGTTCAATGGCATGTGAAAATGTATCAAATGAAATAGTTGTTAAACATGGAACGGAAGACTGAACTGACGATGTATTCATAGAATTTGTCAAGTCTAAAAAGTACATGATGATATAAATAGAAATATCAATGAACTTAAATCAGTAGTGATTAAAATTAATTTTCTGACTTCAATCAAAGCTTAATTTTATAAATATTTTCTTCAATAAGCTATCTTCGAATCTTTCAGAAATTTGTTGTTTTGAAATTTTAATTAGCAATAGTAAAAATTATTCAATTTAATTTTTAATTTTTATTTCGTCTATATTTTTTGATGCTGAAAAATTGATGATGTATTTTTAATAGTTGTTTTGATTTAGTCATAGAGTCATCACTAGAGTATATCTTATAATTAATAGAACTCAATGAATTATTTTTGTCTTTTTTAGTCAGAAGGAAAAGTGGATTTAGATTTTATAAAGATAAAATGAAACAATCTATATGTCATCACTCCAGAACTCGGAAGTGGACCGCTCTTGAAATGAACTGTGGTTCTATTATCTGAATTTTTTCTCTTAACACTGAATATCGAACAACAAAAAGATACTAATCTCGAATAAAATAGTTTACTAGCAACGAATGTAGAGCTTGTGTATAGAATCCATCGAGTCCGAGCCTGAAATTTTTCTGTTAACTAGGTTCGAGTTCGACAGTTGAGGGTCCGATGTACCTAACTTGTGTGTCAAACAGAATATCTACATATTTTGTTTGTAATACAGTCTACAGTTCTTCGTACTGACTTGGTAGTGATATATAAGTTTTCTATTTTTCTTTTGAATAAATAAGCCTAGTAGAAAGCATGTTGATTGCTCTTTAGAGAATGAATTAATACTAAAACTATTGATTTCAAGGAATTCCTTTAGTAAAAACAAGAGAATAGAAGAATTATACATTCTTTTTTTCCATTACAATACACAATATATTTTTTACTTACTATGACAGCGGTGAATAAAATCCATTATTTCCGCTTCAACATTTGCATAAAAATTATTCATTATCTAAAAGATTGAATGCAATATGAGAGAAACGGGCTAACAACGAAAAAATGCCGTGTTCTTATTTCTTCATCTTCACCAAAAGAAAACAATGGTCTATTTACATTACGAAAGAAGAAGAAGAAAAGGAATAAAAAATATTATTACTCTGTAACTAATTAAAAAAAACAAAAAGTAAAAAAAAAAAGAAAGAAAAATTCACATCACTAAAAATAAATAATACATTAAAAAATAAAACCAAATGACGTCATTTGATTATTCTTTGACAAAGGGATGTTCAAGTAATTCTTGTGATGATAATCGTTGAGTAGGATCATGTTGAAAACATTGTTCAAGAAAATCAATACATTCATTTGATAAACTTAAATCAGTGGGTATTGGTGGACGTACACCATCAGCAATCCAATTAAGAACTTTAAAAGAATAAATACTTGATGCTGTTGTTAGATTATTCCATGGTATACGACCAGTTAACATATGTATTATTGTACAACCTAATGACCATATATCGGATTTCATTGTTGTTTCATTTTGTGTTATTATTTCAGGTGCATAAAAAACAATTGATTCACGTTTATTAATAATGATTTCCATATCAAGTAGTGATGGTTGTTTTTTCATAAATTTAAAATCATAAACAAAATTAATATCACCTAATTTAATTGATTGTTTTGTTGGATCTTTTAAAAATATATTCACATTACGTATATCACGATGAATAATTTCTTTTTCATGTAAACGTGATAAAGCAGATAATAATTGACGTAAATAACGTTGAACAAGAGTTTCTTTTAAAAGAATAGTACCAGTTGAAGTTTGAACAATATATTTATCCATAAATGATGTATCTACTGTTGGATTGATAAATGCTGCTGATGTACGACGTGAATCGGCATGTATTACTGATGTACGACGTATATCTATATGTGATGCTGATGAACGATGTAGATCAGTATGTGATGATGATGATGATGATAGTGTACCAAGTAAAAGTTGAGCTATTGTACCATAACTACAATATTCCATAAAAAATAATATATGATCATGTTCAAGTGCAATGCCATGATATTTAATTAAATTTGCATGATCAATATGTATAAGTGGCATAAGTTGCTCAAGAACTTTAGTAATTGCTTGTGCATTATTATGTTGAATTTTATATTGTTTATAACAGAGGACTTCTTTTTTACCGTCTCTGTCTACTGTACATTTGTACGCTATACATAAAATAGAGAAAAAAATATCAATTTTTTTTTCAAATAAATTGAATGATTGAATTTAAAAAATGAGCAATGTGACAACTTTGTCAAGTATTAAACGCTACATTAAATCGAATGAATGCGAATGTAAAGTGCATATTATTAAAGAGAAGCTAAAAGACTTGTTATTATTCTCCACTATTCTCGAATTATTACTTTTGTATTAAATATTTGATATGTAATTTGATGTATATATGAAAAATTAAAGGAAATAATTTTAATCTGAAACTTTCTCTACAGAGAGATTCTATGAGTATTAGAAATTTCAAAAGAATGTTTTCGTTTTGAAAGAAGAATATTAAATCTATATTTATTTTTTTAACGACGCTGTTCGAGAGATCAAATTTTCAATAAAATAACTTTCCCTCGAGATAGACGAAGTACCAGGAAGAATCCTTCGAGGATTTCTTCTGATTTTATGAAACTCAATGAAGTGATTTACATCCAATTCGAAGCGATATATCACACACTCTAGAAAATCTTCATTCTTAGGCCATAAATCTTATCCATGTGTGATATGTTTCTACGTAATAAAAGTCAGAGCATAACAAAAAATCAGTATAGAGGCAGTAGAAAGCTATAAGGCAGTTAATATTCATAGATGCTATAAATGTTAATCTTCTTTTTTACAGTAAGTCAAAACTCCTGGTTCATTCTATTTATATAACATATATCACAACGAATGAATCATACAACTTCAAAAAGAAAAAATAACTTCGTTAGTGGAATATTTACTAGCAAATATTTATCTCTGAGTTCAAAACGAAAATAATCATTTATTTAAACTTTTGAACTGTCTCAAATAAACCAGCCTAAAGTTGTAAAAGTATTGAACAGTTCATTGTTTATTTTTTTTATCATAAAATCTACTGATAAATAATGTAATCTATGAGATTTATTATCAAGAAAAATTCTTAGAATCTTATTTATTCAAAAAATAAAAACCCATGAAAATATGCTTTGTCGGTAAACATATGCGCTTTTAACTCAGTGGCTAGAGTGTCTCCCTCCGGAGGAGAAAGTCGCCAGTTCGAATCTGGCAAGGCGCGAAAATGAAAGTATTTTTTTTTATTCTTTAAGAAAAAAAAACCCATCTTACTTGTTGCATATTGTCCACGTGAAAGAAGATTTAATTTATGAAAATTTCGTATTTTTAAATATGCTAAATCTTCATCCATTTTTTTTGATAATGTTGGTGTTTTATAAACACTTTTGATTTTTCCAATCAGACCTTCTTCAATACGTGTTCTATCAATACGTTTTTCAAGACGATCAATTTGTTCAATTCTATTTAATTGTAATTTTTTTTTCTTTCGATTATCGTAACCATGTTTAGTTATTGATGAATATTGAAATGTCTTTGATTGTCTATTATCTTGATTAAGATTGTTATTATTATTTGAATTATTTAAATAATTAATAGTTCTTGTCATATTATAATAAAATTCAGAAAATAAATCATTATCAATATGATTTGTAAAATGTAATGAACATGTATGACGAAGAAAATGTATGCCAGGTAATAACCACATTGGTATTGTTATTGGATATTTTGATGTTTGTGTAGAATTTTTTTTCCGAACAAAATTTAACCAAATATTTGCAAATCTTAATTGATTTTCAGCTTGAGTTTTTAATGTATTATATTCACATTGTGTTGCATAAAAACTTGTTTCACGAATAACATCCATTCCAAATGCAAAAGCACGTTCTTCGGTATGCTAAATATAGAAAAAAAGATCTTAAGAAAATCTTTTCTATCCAAGGAAAAAAAAAGATTAATACTCATATTACAAAAAAAAAGAAAAAAGTTATAAATATCTGTTGATAAAACATCAAATTTGATGTCATTCATGTATTCCTATTTTATCAAATAGTACTCTAGAAATGTTGATGGATACGTTTTTTTTTTTTTGAAAATATTTCCACTAAAAAAAAAGAAAAGTCATGTCTACAAAGAATAGTCTTCTTGTTTTGCTTAATTTAGAAAAAAAAACCTTATCTTATTTCAATTTAAAGAAAACAAGAAGATAATCTCATAGGAATATGATATCTACAGAATGCTCTTAAAGTCCGTTTAGATAAAAAAAAACATAAATAGCTCTTGAACAATTCAAGCGATTTGCATGAATTTTCTATCATTTCTTTTGATGTTTCTGTAAATTTCATTCAACATAGTTCAGATCAAATACTACAGTAATCATAGAAGAAAAGTCAATGCAGTTCATGCTAGTGTTCAAAGTGTATTGACAAGAAGTGTTCTCATTGTTGGAAATGTTTTGTTTTCAATAGTATTATGGATTATGACAGAACTCAGTAAATGATTCCACAAAATAAGGTATCTTCTCATCTTGACAATTGAAATACATCAGTTTTTTGACAACATTTTTCCTAATATGTAAATTCAAAGTGGGAGTTCTTTTAGATGGATTTCACATTCATTGAACTTAACATGTCTAAAATTCTTTGTATGATGACATATGAAAGATTATGTCTACAAGATGATTACTAAAGATCAAATTGTATTAACAAGAGGAATCGGTGAACAAAAAAATGCAATGGTTTCAATGAAAATTTTACTAATGTTTTATTTTCTAAAATTTTCGAAATAGTGAACTTGGAAGTTGCATTTCAGTATGACCATTTTGAACAGCGAATATAAATAGAATTCCGCGAAAGAAAACTTCAAATAAACTCGATTAAAATTATAGAAAACTTATGTGTATAGCTCGAATTGTTCAAGAGCTATTCATATTCTTTTTCTCGACGAACTTTCGGAACATTCTATCACTTTCAAGAGATTTTCTTTCAAATGAAGTAAGAAAAGCCAATATAGAAGTCATCTCATACAGTTAATTTTCTTTTTTTTCCAAACTTAGTAGCTGTAATTAACAAGCAATCAGATATTTTATTGTGCTTAATGAAGTTTTTGTTTCTGAATGAACAAAAAAGCTGATAAATACTAAAGATTAATCAGTTGAAACTTTTCAAAACTGAAGAAAGAAGGAATGAATTAAATTCTGTTACTATTTATAAAAGTTTATTTTTAATAAGATTAGTGAAAGCAATAGTTAAACGGAACCTAGAATACATGAGTAACACTTACACCTTTGATGAAATTGTTTTTTAAATTTCTTGTCCAATTCAAATACAAAAAACTTTTCTTTAAAAAAATGGAAATAAATTTCTAAACATTGAATATGTTTTTCTAAAATTTGTGATTATTGTAAGAAGAATCTAGTATATGTTTAAGAGAAAAAATTAACAATTTTCAATTGTTTCATTATTTCAGAATATGTTTGTATTGATTTTCGAAATGATTAAAATTTTTTTGAAATAAAGTAATGTATATATTTTTGTGTAGTTTTGTACTTACAACATAATCTCTTGTATTGATTTTTTCAATAATATTTTCAAAAATTTCCACATCACTTGCAATACAGTTAGTTAAATTTAACATTGAATGAGCTAAATTTCTCATAGCATTATCAATTTGTTCAAAACATGAACGTCTTTGTAATAAATGTCCTGTTCGTGTATCAAAACTATATAAATCACTTTGTTGAACATTTATTTTTGATAAACATTCTTTAAATGATTCTTGAAAATTTTCAAGATTATTTGTTTGTTGTGTAAGTAGAAATATTGTTGTCGTTTTCCAATTAGTATGTAATGGTAATATAGATGTTAAATTCTTATTTTCAGGTATTAAATGTGTTACACCACGCCATTCAGCTTCAAGGTCAACTGTCGCTGGCACACACAGAATATAAACTAATGGTGGAGAATTTTCAGATGGTAAAGTTGATGATTGTTGAGATGATGCAGAAGATTGTTGTTGTTGTGGTAGTGGTGGTGTTGATTGATCATCATTTAATTCCGTAGATAAATTATTATTTGTATTAATTCGAAATGAAGAAGATAATGTTCGTATGATTTGAATTTTAGTTGATTTATCTTTAAAATATTTTGCTGGAGTAAAAAGAAGACATTTAGATAAAAGAACACCATCTTTGTCGATTTGATTAGTTCCATGATGATGATGATGATTTTCGGAAGCTATAAGATAGAAAAAGAATAAATATATTCTTTAATTAATAAAATCAAGAAGATTGTCCATGTGAAAAGTTTGTTTGATTGTAATGTGAAAGATATTGAAGCTTTTTTTTTTTATTGTAAACAAGAAAATTTCATTACAAAACTTTTTCAACTCTTTGAATGACTCTCTCTCTTGTCAATGTAGGTCACATGAGAAAAGTGTTATTTATAATATATATATTGCACTGCGTAGAAAAAAGATATAAACGAAAGGCATTCTAATCTCTTAATAATCTTCTCAATACTAATCACATTAGATAGAAATTTTTGCAACAATCTTCCGTAAAAACTCTTTTACGTGAGCATCTCATGTTATTGAGCAGTCGATAGTCTGCTCAGACGAATTTTAGCTTCTCAAATATGAGTACCTACTTATTCTGATTCTGAATGAGAAGTTGATGTTATGTGTATTGTGTTATGAAAAGCAATCATGAGGCACATAAGAAACAATATTAAACAACAGAAACAGTGCTTGGTGTAGCATCTCGTCTTCTTTGTGCTAATATAACTAGTGACATCAAATCATGTCAGCATATGTTGATTTACCTCTAATTAAAAACAAAGTTAAATTAATTAATTATTGACAAGAAGAAAAAGATCATCTTGTTTCGCCAACAAGCGCTTGCAACTAAATACTTATAGATTTCAAAACAAAAAGATGCCAAAAGCCTTCCAATAAGGAGCAACTTTATAAAGTAAATACTTTCGAGGCGATCAAAAAAATACTGTTATCTAGTGTTTATATAAACAAGAAAGTTTCTATACCAGAAGTCGTTTTATTCCTCTTTTATGATATTAAAATTAAGAAGAATAGAATCTACTTGCTCACGTAACGGTCAATCTATTTCGGCAAAGTTGGAAATATGCGAAACTCATTCTTTCATTATATAAGTTTTACGTTGTCAGAAGAATGATGTGAGATGTTTTCTTAATTGTTCTTTCAGAGATGTTATTAATATCTTCAATAAGTAACAAAAAAGAAAAAGAAAACGCCTAAGATAACAGGTGGGGCAAAAGTTTTGCATTAATTTTGTTTTTGATATAACTCTGTGATGGAATGTCGTAGAGACTTTATTGTTTTTTTGTTAGAAAGAGCAAAGTGTCTAGTACAAAAATGTATAAAAGAATTTGATTGGAAATGTTTTTCGAAGGCCACAATAATCTTAGAACACAAGGCTTGGAAAAATTCTTCCACAACTTTGGTCAAATTTTTTTTATCCAAAAATATTTGTTTGAACTTTTTCATTATCCACTTTCGACGCTTTTGAGCACCATATATATACAGTTGTTCAGTACAACGAAGGCTTTCATTTGGTATTAAAATAATTGGTATAACATACAAGAGAATGAACAAAAGACAATTTGATTAAAAAAAATTAATTGTTCGAATTTAGTTTTGCATCGGGAAAACAAGTTCTTGTCTAAATATCTCACAGAGAAGCTGTGTCCAATTCCAAAATAATATCGTTTGGTAGAGAACTCAACAAGTTTTCTTTTTCATGTAAAATATATAGCTTCTGACAACCTCTCTTGCGAAATAGAGTTTATTTTTTCGACTGCTATCAACAGTGATGAAAAATCGGTGACTCAGACGGTATGATAAAGGCCTTCATTTCTACCGTTATAAAACATGTAGAAAATTTCTTTTTTTGTAAAGCAGTAGTGCTCTATCCTTACATAATAAAATCTACATTAGACGAATAAAAAGAGAATCTGTCTAATTATAGGAAATTTTTTCTCCGTTCAAAAAAGTTGCGGAAGAGTTTTCTGACGCCTTCTGTTCTAGGATTATTGTGGTCTTAGAAAAACATTTCCAATCATATTCTTTTATATATTTTTGTACTAGACACTTTGCTCTTTCTAACAAAAAAAAATGAAGTCTCTATGACATTGCGTTTCAGAGTTATATCAAAAACAAAATTAATGCAAAACTTTTGCCCCACCCGTCATTTTTACTTTATAGATACTCATGAGTAGTTCTATTTTTGTTTAAGTTTTCAAACAAACATTTTGTCGATGAGTTCTAGACAAAGTGCGTCAAGCCCAACGTACCCATCATAAGTTACATCTCTGAAAGCATACGGAACTTGCAAGAAGATACAAGTATTAGACATAACAACAAATTTAATCGATTGTTTCGTATTCATTAAAAGTCAAAAATTGTTTTATTTCTCAATCATAATAATATTCATATATCAATATTATCAAGACGTAAAGATACATAATTTATTCGTGATGTCTTTTTGCAGGATCGTCTTTACAATCTATGATCGATTCTCTTTTTATTCGTCTAATGTAGATTTTATTATGTAAGGATAGAGCACTACTGCTTTACAAAAAAAGAAATTTTCTACATGTTTTA